ATAAATAAACATTTAATATGCAGTTTATAGCAAGCAACACATTTGTGAAAACCAAAATAAAGACTTCATACCTTTCCCAACACAGGAGCCATTCCCATGATAACTGAGGCTAAAGCTGAACGGACATGCTGAGAGGAATCTGATGACAATTCCTGTAGTCGTTATTTGCTTAGCACTCAGTGAAAGTATGAGGGAAAAAAAAATTGAGGCATGACATGTAACAGTAGATAAGTGAAAAGGAAATTAAACTCTAAAATAGCATATGCACCTTAACGCAGGGAAGAATATGCTGAATTGCTAGTTCTGGACTTAAAATCCGGCAAAACTTGGTCACTTTGCCAGCAGCTGCTATACGAACTTCAGCTTCATTGTCTCGAAGCAAGCGCACATAAGCAGGTACCAAGTCCGTCCTTACCACCCAAAAACAAGTGCATGCATTATGAACAATATAAAAACTCAATATGTAGTACACTTGGCACAATGTTCACAACTCTTTCTAATATAAGAATTATTTTCCATATTTACATAGTATTAGTACAAAAATACATGTGCATTCATTTTTTTTTTAATTAATAGAAAATTTGATAATTATGATAAATGAAATTAAAATAGCAAGGCCACATGAGCATATAGGCTAACCAATGAAAGGCTAGGAGCCACCCAAGAGAATAAACTAAAGTATCTCCAATGTTTTAGAATAAAGAGAAAGGAAATTCAAAGCTAGAAAACCAGAATAAGAAGAAGAACCTTCCTCCCAATAACCCCCCACTAACCAAGGAAGGGGCTCCTATCTACATAGCCAAATAAACCAGATTATAAGGTCATACAGAACTACATTTCATGGGTTTCCATAATACAACAGGTCAAAAAAAAAAAAAAAAAAAAAATACATTCTCATCTTTCCACATTGATCAATAACCAACTTTTCTTCATAGATTAATAAGAAATTACCTAGTAGGTTCAGGTCCTACAGCTTCACACAACTCGTATAACTGGTTGGCAACCATGTAACGGACACGCCAAGACTTATCCTACATAGAAGGAAACGTAGGCAAGGAACAAGAAAGAAATTAGCGCTTGAATAAATTGTGTCAAGGCCATGAGGGTATAAAGCATGTAAATACCATTTTTACCTTCTGCTATACACAATAGAGGTACTCAAACTAAGAAATAACTAAATAAAATGCAGATATATAGATTATACATTAAAATTTCATTGATATTATAGCTTACCTAGGAATGAAAAAGTTCGAGAACAAAGGTATTTATAATATGCTATGCTTTCTTTAAAGTTGATTTAATAATCCTATGGACAGCTCAAAAAGTTTTAGTAGCAACTTAAAAAGAATTTTGGATGTTTGCACATCTACGTCATTCTTACCATTGCTAATAACTAAGCAACAGAAGCACAAAGGAAACATAAAACAATACATCCAGACGTTCATCACAAAGACCTGGAAACCACTAGATTACAAAATGTATTTGTAAAATAATCCTTGATCCTTGTTCCAAAGAAGATAATGCTTGATCTGATCTTCCAAGAAAGATATTTCTCAACAGTGCATATAATCATTCTAACAAATTGTCAGGCATACAAATCAAACTGTGAAATCCAATAAATTGTGCAAAACTATACCTGGGAGAAGTTAACCATAACTGGAAGAATATGCGATACACAATCCTGGGGTTCCAATAACTTGCCCAAAGCTGCACAACCCTCAACGGCTAGCAATCTCACAGAGTCCTGATCTGTTAAAGACTTGGTGTAAGAACATAAAATGTACTAAACCAAACAACTGTCTACAATAATTCTAAAGAATAATTCCCATGCTTTTGTAACTTGAGAAAGATCCATGTTTATTCCCTGTTAATATCTCAACTAAAAAGTCCAAATGAAGAATAGTTAGACTTATAACAGCACTGATCTCAACATATTATGCACACTGAACATACACTAAAATAATTTGAAAACTAAAACAAGAAGTCTAAACTTTAACCAGCAATACACAACCGATGTGATGCACCCACTAGAAAACACACTTTCTATTCACATGAATCCAATGTCCGCAAGAAACCAGAAAAGTAAATCACACTCAGGTAACAGATACAGATAATTACCATCTTGAGTAAGATCCTCAAAAATTGTCATGGTATCAGTCTTCAGATGAGCAGGTTCAATTGTTGCAGCAAACTTTCCTAGATTTGTGGCAGCAGACCTCCTAACCATGGGCATATCATCTTGACACAATTGGCCATACATTGACCGCAATTCGGTCTTCAACATCTCTGGAGCACTAGGGTAGGCAATATGAAATAGCCCACATGCGGATACTCTAGCCGTAAACCATTCACCAGCTGCCAATCTCTGGATATATGTGAAAGCACAAACAGACACACAGACCCCTCAGAAAACGTTGGATTTAAAGCTATCAATGTTGAATATGCAAAGAGTGTTTTAAAAGAAAAATAAAAGAAAGAGGGGAGCAGTTCTCAGATTTTTAGGACAGAAGGAACAAAATGGCAGGGAGACCTAATAGGGTCTCAGAATTGGTTTGATGTTATCAAAGTTAATCAATTTGAGCTGTATTCTCTATAAAAACCTATTGTCATTGGAAGGACGTCAAAAGTATAGGCTCATAAGCAAGACTTAAATAACATATCCCAGAACATTCAATATATGATTGGACGCATATTTAGCATAAAACATCTTAAATTTATGGATACTTTTCAATGCGCCACCTATTGCAAGTGTCAGATAAATGAAGTAAAGGGAATGATTTTAAAAAGAGAGGAATGCATATCGAAGAAAAGAAGGAAAAAGAAAAATGTAGAGGGAAATACTAACCTTAACGAGAGGAATAAACCAATCAACTAAATCACTCTCTCTCATTTGGGAACCAATTCTGCACAAAGACTCCACAGCTTTGTCCCTCACACAGGTTTCCTCAACAGTGCACAGAGTTTCCAGAGGTGGAAGCAAAACATGGGCATGCTCAACACCACCAACATATGGGATGAACACTCCCAACTCCTCAGCCATAGCAAGAAGCACCTCATCATCATCATCATTGTTTTCACTCAGAAAAGGGATCAATTCTTTACGCGTTCGCTCCTCTCCAAGAGCACGTGCAATCGTAGAAAGTCTATGAATTGAGTTCAACCGTAGCTGAATGTCATCATTTTTCAGCTCGTCAATAAGAACAGCTATTGGATATAGAGGCTCGTGGACCATAGACATCTTGTACAGTGATTTCCTGTAAAACTAAAGACGAGATAGAGAAAAAGAAATCGGTTCACAGCTCAAAAAGACGGTTTCCAAATAACAGTCACTCACAGGTTGATGGGAAAACAAAAACAAAGATATCAAAAAAAAAAACAAATCTCTTATCACGAAACACGTGGCATAAGAACGAAAAAACGACTGGAAACGGACTAAAAAACTCAGACATAAAAGAAAAATGCCAAGCGCAACTTTACCCGCTTACGATAAACTCGCGCCTTCCGGACGTGCAGAATACAAGTGGATAAAATCAATGCTCCATATGATCTCTAATAACTAGATGGAAAATATTAATTACACTAGAGATTGAAGGCTTTGTTATTGATATATGAATCCTCGACTTCAACGAAAAGGTAACACGTAGAAATGGACAAATCAGATCCGCAATCAAAGATTCAAGGGCAAGAAAGGATAGGGTTAAAGAACCATAGAAAGTGCCCAAACGATGAAAAAAATAACACGGATTCGAAGGTCCGAGCCCTAAGTTCGGTGATATGCAGCTAGAATCGAAGATTCTCCATCCAGAACGAGGACGGTGCGGCAGAATTATTTTCTTGTTCATTGAAACTTAAGGTAAGCAACACAGGAAATTCAATCTCACTATTCCCTTCCTGTCAACGACGAAGTAAAGTAGTGAAATCCAGATTAAACAAAACGCTGCTCGGACGGCGATCGACTGAAACAAAATGGAAATAGTTCCCTTCTTCCTCAAATTTGAAGGTAAAAGAAAAGGGGGGGGAGGAAAAGTGAAAGCGGACTCACCAAGATCAATGCCCTTGCCTGGCTGAGCTTCAGGAACCTGTCGTCGGAGAGAGAGAGAGAGAGAGAGAGAGAGGGAGAGAGAGAGAGAGAGACTACAAGAAGAAGAGAGCCAGGACAAACGAGGCTTTTTGTTAAGACACTCTCCGATCTGAGAATTCTATAATAACAGAACTGTAACCATTATGGGCCGGCCCATCGACGTAATCCACAGCAAAAATTCTAGTATATTGGGCTTTTTCAAAAGAGAGCCCAGACATGCATTCACTGTTCATATCCGTTCATCTTGGGCTTGGTTTTTCTTTTTGGGCTTAGCAGAAAGCCTAGTCCGAGAAGGAATCAAGCCCAAATACGTAGAGTTCACTGTTCATGAGCCTCCGTACATATCAGCCTGTTTTTTCAAGAACATCCCTGTTTCAGTGTTATCTTCAACAAATTTGCAATATATATATATATGTAAACACATTCACGAGATAGCTCCATTTTCCTGGGTGAATAAGGAAAAGATCTTCCTGTCTGCACGAATCAAGTCACAACGTCCCATTGGAAGGTCAGCTTAGTACATTATTGCATACCATTTGTGCGGTCGATTGGAAAGGGAAACGAATCATTTATAAGTGTGAAAGCCTCTCATTAGTATACGTATTTTAAAATCTAAGCTCAGAAGGAAAAGCACAAAGAGAACAATATCGGCCAACAGAGAGATTAGACTGTTACAAACCTCTCCCTGAGGACGGTGAGCTCTAAAGTGGGGTGGACACCCAGCACTGTGTCAACAAGGATTTTCAAAATGGGTGGATTGTGAGATTCGCGTCGATTAGAGAATGAAATGAAACATTTTTTATAAAAGTGTGAAAATCTGAAAACTTAAAGAGAGACAATATCTACTAGCAGCAAAGTTTATTTGAACTGTTACAACCTGTATCTCCACAAACCCATTTGCTTTAGTATGACAATCGAATTGAAACGAACTGAACCGGCTCAAAAACTAAGTGAATTAATCAAAAGAAACCAACCAAAATAGTTTGTACAAATCCAAAGAAGCCAACATTTAAGGTTCAAACTGACCAATCTAAAGGAGGTTTCCTCCTATATTCGGTTTTGGCTTGCACTTCTATATGTATCTTTAATCAGGATAAGACAAATAGAATAATATACAATCAAATCTGACTGACAAGCTTGAGCATGCAGGAGTATATTAAGAACACGGAGTGCTGCCGCTGCTGCTGCGCATCGTAAACGTACTGCACAATCCACCTCTTTAACATCACATCTAGAGCCAAAATCAATATACTATCATACCACAGGCACATTCAAACTAACAGCTTTGATGAACAGATTGTAGTGTCCATCCAAGACACATCTATGATGACCCGGACCCGGATCGAGCTTATACACAGGACAGGTCCATTTACGTTACCTGCCAGAAAAATATATGAGGGCATAGGTTAACCAAACTCTGATATCAAATTCAACCATCACTGTATGAAAGGTGCACTAATGAGCCAACTCCAGAGATGAATGGTATCAGATAATCCAGTGGAATCAACAACTATGGAAGGGCATGGCATCCTATGTAGCCTCAATTCTTGATGCCAACAAGTCTTAAAAATCTAGTCCAACACCCAACTTTCTCCTTTTCAATTTTAATCTCCGCTGGTGACTTGAAATTTGCCTTCTCACTGAGTTCTTCAAATGCATTCAAGAGATTTTGCAGCCTTGCAACAAACTCGATGAGAAGCGAAGTAAACGTTGCCAAAGATAAGGAGCTTGCACTTTCATATACTTTTGACTCTCTTTCATTCGGCACGGTGTCGTTCAAAAATGAAAGGCGTGGCCATGAAACCAGGTGTTTGTTGAAGACACTTTCTGTGGATACCCATTCTGTAATGGAAGGGTTGAAGCCGATGCTCGAGTGTTGAGCATCCAACGTATCGTTCAGGGATTCGATTACCAACTGTCTGCCATGATCATCTTTGGTATCAATAAGATGTTGAAGATCTTCATGTTCCTTGTGCTGTTTTCCAGGTCTCCAATTAGCTGAATTCACCAGTATATCAGATTTCTCATCAATCTTCATTTGTAAAGCTTCTGCAGCATCATGAACGTCCAATAGCATGTCGACTGAGCTTAACTTCTCCATCTTTTCTACTTTGCTCCCAAGCTCACGTAAGAACTTAGCTCCCTCAGTGCCAACCCTCTGAAGCTCCTTCGCAAAAACCTTTCTTTTCTCCGGTGGAGCCTGTAATACAAACGTGCAAGATCTAGTCATCTACGTGCATTCGTTATTATCACCAATTTAACATCCAGCTAGCGAATCAACAGCCAAGAATCATCAAAATATTTCTATTTCAAATTTCAAATCTAAATCATCGTGACTCAGCTATAAAACAAGTAACGATGACAGGTATGTACATACAAAAAGAAGAAAGTATTAGAGCTAGACACCGGGCGAGGTGCCAGCGAGGAGGCTGAGGTCTGAAGGGAGTGGACACAAGGCGGTGTGCCAACAAGAACATTGGGCCTCGAAGGGAGTTGGATTGGGGGGTTCCACATCAACTAGAGAAGGGAATGAGTGCTAGCGAGGACGCTGGGCCCCGAAGGGAGGTGGATTGTGAGATCCCACATCAGTAGGGGAGAAGAACGAAACATTCTTTATAAGGGTGTGAAAACCTCTCCCTAGTAGACGCATTTTAAAAACCTTGAGAGCAAGCCCAAAAGTAAAACCCAAAGAGGACAATATCTACTATCGGTGGCCTTGGGTTGTTACAATTAACCTCCCCCATCTTCCAAATCAAAGAAAGCTGCTTAACTTGCAAAAGGCATCATTGAAAAAATTTACAGGGGAAGGAATTAAGAGAATTTTTTGAACTTCACCAATTTATTCTGACATGTTACCACCCTCGCCTTTCTTAAGGACCACAATTATCTAAATAACCAGATTGGCGGTGTCAATTTTTCCTGTCCAAGAATTGACAGTTATCACCCAGCTAGCTAAGACTGATTCCTTCTTCCAGCTTAATTCATGTCAGTGGTCGTCTTTTCTAAAGAGGGATAATAAAATTTGGCCATTGGCCTGACATTTAAATGATAAAAAAAGCAGCCCATCTAGAAGGGCCACTCACTCACCCATTCCATAGAAGTTTGAGCGTATGGGTGACTTCAGCTACAGGCTAAGGGATATCGATAATTGAAAAAGCAAGTCATAACAAATGTGAATGTAGCCGCTCAAGTCCACCGCTAGCAGATATTGACCTTTTTGGGCTTTCTCTTTCGGGTTTCTCCTCATGGTTTTTAAAATGCGTCTGCTAGGAAAAGGCTTCCACACTCCTATAAAAGGTGTTTCGTTCTCCTCCCCAGCCGATGTGGGATCTCACAATCCACCTCCCTTCAGAGCCCAGTGTCTTCGCTGACACTCGTTTCTCTCTCCAATCGATGTGGGATCTCATAATCCACCCCTCCCTCGAGGCCCAACGTCCTCGCTGGCACACCACTAGGTGTCCACCCCTCTTCGGGGCTCACCGTCCTTGTTGGGCTGTTACAGTCAAATTCAACAAAACTATACAACAATGGGGCGACCAAGAACAACTACTAAAGGGCGGTTTATGTATTAATATCTCCAAGTGGACGCTCTTCCTTCTTTTACAAAACATGAAGATTATCGACCTTAACGATCGTACCCTTAATAGAAATCGGTGCAACAAAGAACAACTACAAAAGAAAAAGGGTCAAATCACCTGGATTTCTGAAAGAATACATCCGTGCATTGCCATGACCATGAAAGCGCAATGCCTAAGAGCACCACTCACTCTGACATAATTGTACCATGGATAATTGAATGTCTTGTAAGGGCCATGCGGTGGCTCCCAACAGGCAAAGTCCAACTACAAAAACAACGAGACTTAAGTAAAACCTTCTTGTAACATGTCATCTAATCAAAGTGTGAACAAGAACCAATACCAAAGTGTCCTCTTGACTCGAGGACTGCACAGCAGATCTATAAGCACTATATACAGGGTCATCAGAGGCTTGATATGTAAGAATCTTTGAGGAGATTCTCTCATATTCCACACACTGAAGGTATTCATTAACGACACCTGAACAAGATTTCAAGGAAGCTAATGATTTAAACATGTTTTTACAGATCAAAAGTATAAGAAAGTGCACAAAATCATCTTAACAAAATGGATAATAGAATTGATCTTGCCTTCCAATGAAGTAGCAACGTTTTTGAAATTTTTCACAACCAATTTGTGCAGATCCTCCCCTGCCCAAATGGGGAAGATAAATATATTCACTACCAAGCACATGGTAGCACCGACGCCAATGAATAGTAATCGATAAAAAGCCGTTCGGAAAAACGACGATGTACTTCCAGATATCAACACGATGCAAAATGTCAACAGAAATACCCTGAACCCGTATTCATACGACTTCATCGGCGGATACAATTTACAATAGCTTGCAAAAAACCCTAAAATAGTGAAATGGAATTGTTAATTTGAGTATCCAATTACATCTCAGATACACAGATTCATTATCCCTACTAAGAACTCGTACCTGCAAGGAATATACTGATTACGATTATAACTTCCTTAAATGGTCCAGCTAAGACGGATAGTTCAGCAATACCAATAGCAAGTCCACCGGCTGAAAATGTCCCCAATGCACGATTAAACCCTTTACTAAGCGTTGCCCCTGCAGAAATGAACAGAATTATTCCCTTGAACGAAGAAATTGACTCATGAAACCTCAAGATCCGCAACTGGATTGAAATTAGGGGAGTGAAAATCATTAGGCATACCAACGCTGAACTCGAAAACGACGACAACAGTGAGAATAGCCCAGATTGTATATTGGCCAACTTCTTTCAAAGCCTCGCGAAAGAAAATGACGAGCGAAACGAACGCAAGCGACAGCCCCATCTTGGCAGCGAAGAAGATCTTGCGGGGATCGGAGCGACCCATTTCGTACAACTTGACGGTAGTATCTCGTAAGCCTTTCAAGAAGTTGGTGATTGAATCGGTAAGTGTACGGAAACATCGACATTTCACGTTGTCGCCGGCGCCGTCGTAGCTGTTCAGGCCGAAATCGGAATATCCCTTACGAGAAAAGGCTTTTTCCCTGTTCTGATCCAGAAAACTCTGCCGGATTGATCCATATTTTCCTGCCATCACTTCATCAACAATCAAAACGAACACGCAGAGTTTGAAGAATCAGGATCTCACAATACCAGAACGAAAATTGAAAAAAAAGAAAGAAAATAATAATATCAATGAAACGGCACCGTATCGCGTCAGATTTGAAGATGATGGTGAGGCTGGCGGTGACGAAATACGAAATTTGCTAGCTTATTAAATACAAAATACAATAAAATCTAACCCGCGGGTAAGATAACCGATGTCACAAACAAATTCTCCAAAAATATAATAACTGAACTGACTTATTAGGTAACCGCCAACCAAACAAATAATGACACCTTTTTGTACTTCGCCAGAACAGTAAAAAGGTAAATATGATTTTTATATTTATGTTTCATTATATTTTTATAAATTACTTTAATTTTTAATTTGTTAAAAATAAAATAACACAAAAATTTAAATATCAAATAAATATTTACGAACTAAAAAAACCATCTTATCATATAGTTTACTTTCGACATCTTTTCTTAATTATATTTAAGTATATTTCTTAATCAATTAAATTATAAATGATTATCTTATTATCATTAACACAACATAATACAATTTAAACGCTAACTTAATTTTATTTAAATATAGATAATAAAATATTTCAACCGGTCCAAATCATGTATTTACTTTATTTTTATAAAGGGATGCTTTTGTCAAAAGTGGAAAAAGGAATATGAAGGAAATATCTCAATAATTTAAATTTTTTATATTTTTTTCATCCAAATAAAATAAACTTACCCATAAATAATAAACCTTGATTTATTTGAATTTATCTATCACTTTTTTGTTATATAAAAAAAAAATTATAATTTGTTCGTTTTTTTATTTTAAAAGTCACGCTTTAAATAAAATATAATAAATGTAGGGTTGAGAATATTAATTAAATTTTATTAAATTATAAATGATTTTAAAGCTATAAAAATTAAAATTTAATTTTCTTCCAACGCCAAAATTAAATATTGGAGAGAAAATAATTGTATTTAGATAATTTTAGATGGCATCTATATGGCTTTTTTTTCTTCTTTCGTTTGTCTTATTTGCAACAAATAAATAAATAAATATATTATATAGATGAGGAACATGTGATCGGCATTCACACATGTATGAATATCTCCTCAGGCTTATGGATCTCTGAGATTCCATGATTTGTGAATCTTTTTTAATTATTTATTTTTCCATTCCAACGTGATCCAATAATTTAACGGTAATATAACGTCTCATTTGATAAGTACATAATTTTATCACCATTTATCTATCATATTTTTTAAAATAAATAATAATAATAATAATATGTGCCAGTTGAGCAAGATTAAGATTTGTCCTTAGATAGCTAAACGATGTCTGAACTCAATGTTGTATACTTCATCGTTCACTTCAAGAATAGTTTTGATTTTCATATCTCAATAATGTTCGACGTACTGGGTACTTGGCAAGGATGATGATGCGATGTTCCTAAAAGTGTGGGCAGATGCGTCTCGCATATTTGACAAGAATCAAGGCTAGTTTCTCTATTTGAGGAACCTCGTCTTCGGGTCACCGCGGTTCAACTAGCATAAAAGATTGGTATTATCGACCCTTCCTTTGTCAAGACGTTCAAAATCACCAAATTGAGGAATAGTTTGTCGTCTACCATAGTCTCTATGAGGAAGAATCGAGTCGAGATGTTCTTTGAGTACTGAGAAAGTTGTGTCACTAGCCTCAGATCCGCTCAAGCTTCATTTGTTGTCACGAGACTCGGAAGATTGGTAAACATTTGCATGTAAAGTGTAAAAACAAATCGATTTAGGGTGACCATCTTGTCCTTCAAAAATCTGGTCGACATTAGTTAGTGCAATCGACTCGATAGTTAGAGATTCTTACAAAAAAGAAATATCTTGTAGCGGTGTGGAGCTCAACCTAACAATTTATAATCCTCAGGTCAGTAACATACACAAAGTGATGTTGAGCTAAGCTTCAGTTAAGGTTGTCTATCATAAATGAGAGTTGGTCCCTCATATTTATAGTGCTTTATCTACTAATACATATGTCACTTTCAGGGTCACAAATAAGAGTATTCCTCTCTCGGTACTTGATACCCTCAAACTCGACTTCCAAACTTTGGGAAGTGTGCTTTGCTTCCTCAAGAACACATGGGCCCTAATTGGCTTTCTTTGGGAGTCGAGCCTATGGACATGTGTGCATATCGATCCACCATAATGATTATAAACTCTTATTTTAAGGTCTAATACATCACAAAAGTGATTAATATCTCCTAAAAGTTTCAATTACGTTCGAATTTTCAATTTTATATAAATTAATTATCTAATATTTTAATTTTTGTTCAATGTCTCAAAACTATTCGACATCGGTAAAAATTTACGGTTGATTAAATATAGAATAATATAAATTAATATCTATAAATAAAATTAAAAGATGATGCAAATAATTATTACTTTATGATTTTAATTTATACAAATAGTTTATAAATAGATTTTTTGCAATAAAAGAAAAATAGTCATTATACAAATATTTGTTGAAATCCGCGTGGATAAATGAAAGGGTGAGTTGGCATTTAAACCTCATTATGAACAGCACAGCAATGAAGTTTACAATGAGTGGAACGTCTTATCAAATGCCACGTCAGGTCATAAACAGTCAACATCAAAATGAAAACGACGTGTCGTATATCATTAATTAAGACGAAGACGGCCGACACATCGGCGTTGGTTGACGGTTCCCTCCGATCATTTATTAAACTATGGAAAATAACTCTTATTTTTGTATATGGTTAAAAAATATTTTTTAATTTTCAAAACTTCCAATAAAATATTTAAATCATTAGAAAAAATACAGTAGAGAACATCAGTACTTTTATTTTTAAAATATTACAAAATTTTAAATATTTTTTAATCCAATAATAATTTAATTTACCGTTTAAATTAATCTATTTATTAGAATAAATTAAATATAACTTTCACCCATAATAATAATAATAATTATTATTATTAGTGTATATATTAAACAGGCATAAAAAGTGTTCGGTGATCCCATCTGAAAAAATAATTAATTTGGAAATGTACTAATTTAATATAGTTGTTAATAAGATCTATACATATTTTTTGTCGCATGTGGAGGAGTTGATTTAGAGGATTTTATTAGCTTATTTTATTTTATTTTAAAGTTGAATAATATTTTAGGGTAAAATATTTAATTAAAAGAAAGGGTTAATGGTTAAAAAAATATGACAACAAATGAAAATTTTTACGGAGATGAATAATGTGGTAAAAACGAGATTGAGAAGATTTACTTATTTATGTTTCTACTCCATCGTCATCTTTAGATTTTTCCTTCTATGTTTTCCCTCAATGCTTTAAGAAATGTGGGACCTCACAATCCACCTCTATTCGATTTAATATATTATTTTTGATAGGACTATGAAGTGTCTACATAAGGCTTTTTCGGTATATATTAACAATAATAATTTTTTTAATTTATTTTATTTTTATAAAAGTGAAAGGGGTTAGATGCTATTTTTAAAATTTTAATAATATTTTTTAAATATGGTTTTTTTTAAAAAAAAAAAATTTAAGAGTATGTTTAAATTTTATTTTATTTTTATATAATTTTTATCTTTTTTTTTTAATTTTTAAAAAGTTTTTAAGTTTTTAAACTTTTAAAAATTTAAAAATATTTTTGAGAAAAAATATAAATTTTTTATGCTACATTTTTAGATGTCTTTCACACTTCGGCCTCGTCTAGAAGCATGGGGGAAAGCACAACGCAAAATTTCCCGCCCATTTCTTCGCACTTCACCGATCAATGGCTCCCAAATTCGACAGCGCAGAAGGTAAAGGCTCACAATCGATCTTTTGAATTTTTGCCAATATGATTTCGCTGTTGTAATTTTGGTTTTCATTTTGGATTTATGAACGTCTTCAACGTAGAGATTGAATCGTTTTATTCTGATTTCCTCCATTTCTAAAATTGGCAGCGATCGTACTCAACTTCGTAAATGAGGTATTTGATTCATCACTGTGCTTCACTGATTTCTTTGTTCATCCATTAATTGTCTGCATTTCGCCAATTTACTGGTTTAATTTCTATTCCCCAAGCGTGTGTTAGTTTGATTTTCCCCCGTCTGTGATTATCGCGGCGAAGTTCGCAGGCTTTTACGATATGTTCTACTTGTATCTTCCTGTTGTTTAGCTGTAACGAAACGCTAATTTGCATATGGAAGAACTTATCTGTCTTCGTCGTTTGTGTGCTGGCTTAATAGGCAGAACACATGTGATTCTCTCAAGGAGCGATTTGTTTCGATAGACTTCCCATTCCCCTGTCGAGTGCGTTTGGAATTGCACTTCACCATGCAACTCTCGTCTCTTATTTTTTTGGAGTTTTTTTTTAGCTTTTCTTTTTATCGACATTTGGCGCATTTTTGTTCTGTTCAGCAAAATCGTCCACTGAACTCTCAAAATGTTGCTGATTGCTTACAAAAGTTCAACCTCAAGAAGACGGCGGTGCAAAAGGCACTGGATGCTCTTGCCGATAGTGGAAAGGTTTCTTTCAAGGAATATGGCAAACAGAAGATATATCTTGCTCGGCAAGACCAATTCAAGATCCCAAACAGCGAGGGACTTACTCAGATGAAGGAATCAAACGCCACATTGCAGAAAAATCTACACAAGCAGAAAAAAGCTATTAGCCAGGTTGAAGAAGGTAATCCACGCGTGAATTTCAAAGAAATCTTCAATAATGTAAATCTTATATATCACTTGAGCCTTTCCATTTACGGTAAGAACATGAAAATGATGTTGCCATGAACTTTTGCAACAGAAATACAAACTTTACAGTCAAATTTAACGCTGGAACAGATGCGGGAAAAAGAAGCCAGGCTCAGAAAGGAGGTAGATAGATGCTAAATGAGATAGTTGTAACTTTACCTTGTTCAGATAAGTGATTATGTTACGCCCTACCCTCTTTATCTGTTGTTAAGGTTTCAAAACACTTCTTTTTTGATAAATGTTTGTCAGGTTAAGGAATTGGAAGACAAATTGGAAATATTGCGCGGAGGTGTTACACTGGTGAAGCCAGAAGACCGCAAAGCAATTGAGCATATATACTCTGAGAAATTAAGCCAGTGGCGAAGGAGAAAAAGAATGTTCAAAGATCTATGGGACACCATCAACGAGAACTCACCTAAGGATCTAAAAGAATTCAAGGTTCTATCATGTCATTTTGCTCTGCCTGTTTTTACTCAGTTGTTTGAATTAAATACTTTGGATTCTTGCAGGAAGAACTTGGCATTGAGTACGATGAAGATGTAGGTGTGAATTTACAGTCATTCACCAACATGTTACCACAAACTCGAAAACGACCCAGGGGAAGGTGAGTGATACCACAATTTGGGACGTCCAACAGGAGTAAAACAAAGAAGAATTATTTGCTTATTATATTACTTCTCTTTACTCGATCCGAGCGTTAAGGAAAATACAGGTAGATACTGTCTGCTTAGAGCTTGGTTTTTGTATTACAAATACTTCTCAAGTTACTTTTCGTTGACTCATGCTGAGTGAAGATACCGTTTATTTACTGTAATGCTTAGTAAAAGAAACTGCCGTCTCTGACACTCTTTCTTGGTCCGTAGGGTTCTTAAATTGTTGAATCAGGAAACTCCAGAGATCTTTCCCTCAATTGATTGACCTGTGAACTAAATTAATATTGTTCTGCTGTTGTGTGAACTTTAGAAAACAGATTCCTTTCTTATCTGCACTAGGTTAATGCATCAGCCTTTAGCCTCATGTGTTGCCTAACAAGGTTCCATTTCCATGGAAAGTAAGAAAATTTATGTTCATTTAGTGATGGATTAGGTGATGAGGAAACTAATACTGTTCCGGCATAGTTGATTACATTATGAGTATACTAAAACTGTTTCTCATGATTAGATGCATCCATAAGTGAAAAGAATATTGTATGTCTCCGGGGAGGGGACAGAAAATAAGCTCCAAATTTTACAATACACAGAATTTTGATATTCATGAATCCCACTTAACTATTTGCACAATATATCATCACAAAGTTCTTAGAATAAATGAATCCTACTTACAAAACTTATTATCTTTAAACAGACGCCACCCATGATACAATATATTCAAGCTCTTCAGTGTCCACGCACATCTGTTGTCCTTACAACAGCCTCATCCCCTATGCTTAAATGTTCACTACTTTTGTTATCTGATTCCTCTATGTGTGTTATGATTTCTGCAGACTCTGATTCCATCTTCTTGCAACTCTGGAAGCTCGAATTTTTCTCCTCAAGAGTTGAACTGCTGCTTTCTCCATTCCCAGCATCAACATCACTCTCATCAAAAGCCAAATCCTTCTCCAGCAGTTCGATTATATTTATTGCTTCAATTGGAATCTCATTATCCTTCAAACTAACATCCCCTGCTTCTGAACTAGAAGAAGACACTGGCTGCATCAATTCTGCTGGACTTTCACTTTCCTCCACTTCTATAGACGTGCTTCCCATGTGTATTACCTTGTTTTCTGATTCTAATTCAATCTCAATGTTCTTGGACTCATCCGTTTCAGATGATTTTCTAGGTTTTGTACTCAGAGTATTCAGATCATCTTGATCAAGTGATTTAGATTGAGAGAGTTCCACAGCAGCTCTCGCTGCAGCTGCTGCATAAGCCGCAGACTCGAATGCTGCCTGAGCTGCATCGGCCACATCCTTGTACTTCCTCCTTCCTCTCATTGAATCGGCATATCGACTGTCTTTCTCTATCTCTTCAGGTAAAATCTGAAAAACACCTTCCACTTTAGTTTCCTGCGCTGGTTGATCCTTGTTCTCTTCTGCAACAACTTTTTCCTGCATCTATTTTGTTCAATTCAAATATGTAGATTTTAGAAAGTTTCCCAACATAATAGGTAGTAACTTCTATCTCATTAGTTACTTGAAGTACCTCAGTTGAATCTTCATAAGCCTCCAGATCTTTCAAAGTAACACCATTTTCAGAAGCAATTTGTTTGAGTAACTTCATTTTAATCTCCAAACTTGGTGGCCTAGCTGATAGCTTCTGCACTATCTGAAAGACCAAAGATGACCACATGATTAAGTGAAATGCACCGAAGGAAATTTAGCATACAAACCCAAGCTCCACTAGTTGAAGTGAAATGATTAGAACAACACAAATCATAGCATACCATTGGACTCACAGCACAATTGTTGCGTAACTCTATAGCCTTAGCAGTAAAATCCTTCCCAAAACGACTGGCAATAACCGAACGAATCTCTACAAGCTCAGGGAAATCTCCACATCTAGAAGATGCAAAAATCAAACCTGAAATTGCCTCCTTCAGCTCTTCAGGACATTCCCTACATAATCAAAATAAAGCTCTTAAGACTCAAGACCCATCGAAGATTATAGATCAGTTTAGATTTTTACAGGTTCAGTTGCCAACCTTTCATGTTCAAGTTGCTTTATTCTTTCCAATACAACCTCACAATAACTCTCTATTATTGCATATGCATCCAGCAGTTTCTGCTCTTTAATCACCTGCTCAACCTGTCAAAAACAATAAAAACTCTTGGTATAAAGCTTGCCAAGTTAGGAAGCCAAAACCCATGCTTAGGAATATGAAAAGAAATGAATGATCTTACACGAAGCAGAGCTCTCTCATGGTGACCAAGCTGCAGCAACTGAACTACATCAGAACGAGCATGGGTGTGTCTCACCTGGCGTTGGTTTGCAAGAACAGCGAGGCGAGAGATGGCCAAATTGACAAGAGCTTTGAACCTGGTGGTCTTGAAGCTTCTTCCAAGCAAGGCATCAAGTTTTTTTCCCATGCTGATAATTACTCAACGTTGGTTCTAATGGCGGCTGATGAGAAAGCTTTGATGCAATGGGAGAAGAGAAGAGATCACTGACAAAGCTCTTGGAGGGACAGGTTTTAAAATACACAGCCACGTCCAAGGGACAAATATGGTGTAAGGCACCATAAAGATACAGGTATTGACTTTAGGTCATGAAAAAAATGAAACTTTTTATAATCTATTCAACTACCAAGTTGCCTTATTTTGAATTAGTTCATAATCTTTGGTTGTTTTCTCATTAGTCATTTTTCATTTGCGGAAAAAACGAATAAAGAATAATCTATGTTTTAATTGTTAAGAGGTTTTTGTAATGAGTTAAAAGGAGAGTTTTTCCTTGATCAAAATAAAATTTCATTTTTCAATCTAAATGATAAATGATTAAAAAGCTGATTGAGTTGTTCATCTATTTAATCTCCTAACCTAAACATTTCATACATTTCTAAATTTAAAAAAAAAATGTTTAATATGTATTATAAGACTCTAAACTTTTAATTTTGTTTGGGTCTATAAAACTTAAACCTTAAAAAGATCTTAAAAGTCAGATTTATAACATAACCATAAATGTGAACACAAGTACGGACAAAAAAGTCACAATAATAACAAGTGAATGAAACGTGTAGAAAAGAAAAAGGGAAGGTTTTGGTATTGACGCGGTTGGCGTGTGAAAAAAACTAACATCGAAATCAGTGTAACCATCGGGCCGAAGAACTTAAGGGTAGAGAACGGTTTTCCTGATCTACCACCACAAACACGTATTTTAGCGGTCCGATTTAACCCATGTTCTTCGGAAGTATTCCATTTTTAAATCTTGCAAGTATATTGTCAAAACCTGTAGTTTAGATTGAAAAGAATGGAATCGATTATGATTACTCTAGAACAAGGTTAATTCGACTTTCAAGACAAGGAAACGAGCTAAATTTTTTAACAAGGTTAATTCGTTAAAAACTTCTTAAAACTCGCAAGGTTAATTCCTTAATTAGATCATGTTAATTATTTATAAAACACTTTTGCTACCAAGAACTCATTAAATATCTTAATAGTATCTTTCAAGACAGAATAATCATGAAAACGTTCAATTACAAAAACTTTAGTGTTGTACCTTGAGATTTCAAAGAGTTGGTATCCCCCAAGATGAAAATCTGTACACGTTTGCAGGTGGTGAAAAGGTGAATTAATGATACAAAACCCATTATTATTGAAAGACTTTTTTTCACTTTTGATTTCAAGGGAAGAGATGATTGGGTCAAGTACGATACCTACCAAGTCTTGCTGTAAATGCAAATCCGAGGGTCTAGAAAGCTGAAGAATTTTCTGAATGACCTTTCAGATGAAACCAATTTCTTAGATATTGCCTTGCTTTAGAACCACCAAAACACAAAAGATTGCCAAAGACCTGAAATAAGAGGGGGCCCATGCTATTGACGACGAAGGGGAAATCCATCAGATTGACTTCCTCACCAAGCGAATAGCGGCAATGTACAGGAATTAGATTGCCTTAAATGCACTAAAATGATTGAAGATATGTATTGCTCTTCCTATCCAACAGGGCATAGCATTTTCAAATGACTATGATTCACCTATAATGGAAAATTGGTTTAGTAGAAAACAAAAACCAAGTAATCACTCGGCTTCGTAGATTTAATCACATTGGAAACCGATAGGTTTGGATCGTTCTCTAGGATCAACCCAAAACCGGACCATGCACACCCTTAACGCTGTTAGTAGACCTGGAAAATACAGCACAGCAATTAAGATTAGCAAAATGAATCATGATTAAATAACCCATCCAATTTTCCAAGCTCGTCGAGAATTTTACCGTTTCTGGAATAATTACGAGTTTATTCACATGAGATTAGAACACACTACTATCTAGATCATCTAGATCAACTAAAATCACCAGAGACAAGGTCAGTCCTGATGCATAGGAACTGACCGAGACAACGCCTGGAAAAGTTGCATCAGCCTCTTGCTTCTGAAAATTTATTTTCACAGGGACTTCACGAGCAAAGCCTTAGATTACACTCAACCATATGACAAATCATTGATGATGAAATTAGAGTGTACAGCGCATGAGTGATAGACAACGAAAGAAAAGAGGCTGCTTTTGATCCAAATGCTGTGTGTGGATAAAAAACAGTTAACCAGCACTAAACTCATGAAGACGGGCATTAGGGATTCTCTAACAGTGACTCAGATTTCAGGCTGCCAATACAACTAGGAAACAAATTCTTGATAAGAAGAAATACAACCACAGAAACAATTAGGCCAGAATAGACGTGTATACACTCAGCTTAAATGCAATAAAACTAGGATCCATAACATGAGTATCATAGGTATCTATAAGATGCACAAAAAAACGATAATCGCCAACAAAATTTCACGAAAAGCTCAGAACATGGACAACTTAAAAATCACAACTATTGACCAAATGTGAAAGAACATGAATTAACATAATCATATCCAAATATTCTGCAAATAAATCCAAATGAAAGCAAGACCTGTTTATCAAATTATATTTTCAACACGCGATTAAAAGTATTAATTTGAGGATTTCACATAGAATTTGATATAAGAATAAGATTGTATTAGTCTGAAAAGCACCGGAATGGACATCTCTGAAACCTTTAGATCATCTTAAACTACACGTGTAAACCTAACAATAGTGTGTGTGTGGGAGGGAGTATGGGAGAAATAACTTCAATCACTTCTAAGAATTAACTTATGGACACACAAAACATGGATAAGAGAATTGAAAACACAAAATGAGTACTTAATGTACTATATTGGCTTCTATCCCATCGAGTTCCAAGAAAGGCTCATGTTCATTCCTCATCTCTCATTAGAATTACTAGTGAATGGGGAAGAAACATCTAATATAATGAACAATAGAGGAGAATCAAATATGCGAACTTGAATCTAATCTGCATAAGTAGACCAAAGAGTGAAATAAACTAGACGTAAAAATTTCCTGGCCATATCATGAAAAATGACGAGTACAAACGGCAACTAGAAAGACAAGCAAGAAACAGAATACTTCAAAATCCAACATTTTATAAAGCAGATACAAAGGCATATACAGTTGGTCACAAGGTCTTTTGATTTTCAATCTACCGAAATGTTAAACATCTCAAAATCTCATATTTAGTATGGGCTTTACATCAAAAGTAATATTCTATTCATTATTTACTATAGTATGTTAAAATGATAATGACCTAATTCAAAATCAAAACTCTACGTATCAAGTACAAGCTCAAGCTTCTTAGCACCTGAGCACAAAATAGATTGCATTCTATGATTAAACGTAAGAATTATTGTAGCAAAAGAAATCACCGTTTCCATTGTATATAATTGCTCAAGACTGAAGTAGAATTATTTCCTTTAACCAACTAATTTTCATGGCAGAGAAATCAACTTATGATAAGCATTTGCATAGAATTTTTTATAAAATACTAAAGAATGTATCCTTATCACAACATTTGTATCACCAGTACTCCGCAACATTTGGGTTGATGCTCTTCATCCCTAACCTTAGTTTATGATAAATCCACGGAAGAAATATAATTGAAAATTAAATCATTGCAACACCTCAACGATAAAAGTAAGGCACTCTTAGATATGTCCAAGACCTACAAAAATATCGATACAAAAGTCGTGATATTAAACTTCCATAGGGATCTCAGACTGAAATAAGATTGCATATATTTATATTTCTAAAATTCATGCTTTGTTTTTCAGATCAGGAGCTCTGCTAGTTTGATGCATTCATTTTTATCATCAAACTATTGTGCACACGACAAGTATTTAAGATATCCAAGAGTTTATCCTTGATACTTTCATAAACTTGAATCTCTGTGTTCTTTCTAAGAAATAATACAAAGAAGAAAACTGTGCCAATAGAGTTGTATGGAATTGGAAATACTTACAAGAGAATGGGGATGATGGGAAGTTTGCCCTAGAAAAGATAACGAGATCTTATTAAAATAATGAACCTTTAAAAAGGTAAACTTCAAGGCTCCTATCTCGCATATAAGGATAGAAAAGAACATATTTGACAGCGTTACTCACTGCAACACTACTTCACATGGTACCACAGCTCTCCAATGCTAGTGCCTCCATAAACGACCATACCATGGATCAGCACAATGCAATTCATTAGGAAATTCAAACAGCTAAAGATACCAAATAAAATTTGAAAACAACTATAGTTAAACATGATATTGACAATACCACAAAAAAGATACTGCAATCGATAGCTTAAAATGTTCCAACGGAAACATACAACAATTGCATGCACATTACACACAACATTATACAGTGGAATATTATGAAGTGGTAATAACAAATAACAATTCTTGTTGTACATTCGTTTCTGAATTACTATGCATATCCTCGTTCCCCAACCACCCTCCACTAGGTAGGTTTTCCATAATAAAACAAATAATGGTGCATTAGTATATATACATCTGACTATGTCTGAATAAAGCAAATATGGACTATTCACAAACAAGCAGCATTAATGGATTAGAACTGGAAGACTATACAGATTTAACAATCCAACCTTACGGAAAATAAATAGACAAACATTTATTAACTAATATCAACTTTATCGCAATCTTCTCACAATAAAACAAACCAAGGTACCTTCTTCTGAGTGCCTCTAAATCACTCAAGCACTGGAAGGTTCTCTCAGAGCAGAAGCAGGCATCCTGAAGGAAAAACTATATTAGACACTTGAGAACCTGAAAGTAAGAAACAAAATGGGTCGAGAGAAAGAGACGTGGGAAAGAGAGGACTGCAGAAGATAACATCTTGCCAGCCTCCATAATAGTAAGGAAAATCACAAAGTAATAGCATTAAAAACCAAATAAAAATTAAGCACTGCATATAATATAATATACAAACTGTCTTCCGAAAAAGAATAATTTTTATTTACCAAAGCAGTAAATTTAATGGTTTTATTTTATTTTTTTGTCCCCACTAAGTTCCCTGCAAGCCTACTACAGACAATGTTTGTAGTACAAAATAAAAGAAATAATGGGGGAAAAACAAGTATGAACAAAATTTTATAACGGCCACAATCAAGAATGATTACAAGGGGAAGAAACGCTTTCAGCAAGTTGTCTTACAATAGAAACAGTACATTCCACTGAAAGAACCCGCCACTCCTGACCAATATGACCCCTTCTGAATTCAATCATCCCATAATTGTGCCAGAAGCTTAGGTCATCACAAATAAGACTGGCAATACCAAGTGATTAGAAACTGTATGAATTAGGTCATAATTTACAAGAAAACTACTAAACTCTGGTGTCATAAAAGCAGCATCATTGATCACTTGCCAGTGATGAACGGATGGTTCAATGCTTGTGATACTGTCATCCTTTTTTCTGGATCCAATACAAAAATTTTGTCAAGAAGATCCTTAAAATTGGCTAACATCTTTGGATCTTCACCAGGAGATCCCCTAATAATTGATCCAATATCTTTAGGCTTTATATTGACTATTATTCGCTTTATGGTCTGCAAAAGTAAAATTCAAATCTGAATCAGTATTGACGATATAAAAACCTTGGGTGGCAAGTGATACATTCAAAACACAATACCACTTATGCAAAATAATAATAATAATAATAATAATAATAAACCCAGTCTCATAAAATCTCCAAACTGAGAATATTTTCTATAAAAGCTGCAAAAATAAACTTTGATGTCCAGAAAATACTTTAAAAAAAGTAGCAATCATTTATGCCAGAATTTCTAATAGAAGTTTCGTGACACTACAACACTCAAAAACGTGTGCCTTTGGACTCGGAAACCAGGAAAAGGGGTCAAAATAATTACCTTTTTAGTAACAGGATCCTCCTCAGAAGCATGGAAGTTCAGGTCCTGGTCAAAATGTTGGTCAGTAAATGCTCCCTGTAAAAATCATCAGTAGCAATAAACGTGTTAAAACTTCAAATTGTAACTGAAAGACAAATTGCTATTAAAATTCTATCTTGTGGATCAAAATAATGTACCTTGCGAAGCATCTTCTTTGGAAAAGGGCCCTTTAATTCCATGTGCAGGCGCAGCATGTCATTGTTAGAAGGACCTGGAAAAAGGACTTTTCCTGTAGACAGCTCGTACAAACAGCAACCCACAGACCAGATATCCATTGGATGGTCATAAGGCAGCCCTAAAACTGCAACATGCAAAATAACATCAGTGAAGTAATAACTTGTATTACTGGAAAGAAATTATCAGTAACAAATGAAAAATAAATTCACTATTCAGACCACCAGATTCATCAGATGTAGAAAACAAGGACCCAAAAAACTTACTTATTTCAGGGGCACGATAAAACCGGCTAACAAGGTATGGGGTAATTTCATTTTTACCAGCAAACATGGCATTGCCAAAATCACAAAGCTTCAGCACATTTTTGCCCTCATTGACCTGAAAAATTAATCAAGCATCGTAAGAAAAAACTAAGATTAACCAATTCAATAGAATTAAATCCTTTTTTATAAATAACCAAACTTTCATTGAGAAAAAAAAAGGAGAATACAAGGGCATGTAAAAGAGAGCCAACTAAAACAGAAGTCGCTAGAATTGAAACTCGAAAACATACCAGCATATTATCCGGCTTTATGTCGCAATGTAGAACACCACAATTTCTCAAATGCTTCAGGGCAATAAAAAGCTGCTTAGCGTATGCCCTCACAGCAGTTAGCTTAAGGCCAATATTGCGCCCAAATTTCTTCAAGACCTCACGTAGATTCATATGTAGAGATTCAAAAACTAAACAAAGATGATTCCTATATTTGAAACTTGAAAGAAAACGAACACAGTGACGCTTGTCATCTGGATCTGCACCTACTAGCTTTTTCAATATGACCAACTCCTCCAAACCAGCCTTGTACCTGTATATCAAAGGATGCAGGAGAGCATCAAATACTTGAACATGCAACAAAGTGAACACCAGAATAGCATCACTAGAATAAAGCAAGAAAAACATACATTGTTTCATTACTACGCAAAATTTTGATTGCCACTTCTGGTTCATCATGACCACCTTTGAGATCCTTGGCACGGACTACAGTTGAAAAGACACCTTTGCCGTGAGCAGCAGCAATTTCATACCGACCATCAAGGACTTCACCAAATCGATAGTCTGTAATCCACAAAAAAGTTAAATAAGAAAAAGAAAACTAGATGAATTAAATATATTTTCCAAATGCAGAAAATTATAAAATCTAGAAATATATTTTTTAAGAGCAAAATATATATTTGAACCTAAAACTTTGCAACAACTTTATAAAATAAAACTTTGCAACAACTTTAGCATCCAGTTAAAACAACAAATAATCTAGTAGACTAGATGCACAAAGGAATCGTACAACCATTTTCTCCTCCGTTGGCGACAAAAATAATAACAGTATAAAGAATGAAACTAAACCAGTCAACACCTTCACAAGAATACCAGAAGACCTAATGTAAGTGGATCCCAGCAAGATTATTAGATATCTATCGATTACAGCAGTTAATTTAAATGGACAGCATCAGAACAGAGGCAAAAATAATGTAAACAGAACAATTTTTCTGGAGGCCAAAAATGCAAACACGAAATAAGTTAACAGCATTAAGATTCTAAGAGACAAGAATGCAAGACCAAGAAACCCAGTCATGCTTCCACTCCATATTTATTTTTTAATTAAGATGCATCGTTAAAATTTAAACACGCCATAATATAATCTGAGACTCCCATTTTAACTATAAATCTCACCATATACATCCCAGTTTCTATGAATATTAATGTGTTGTATTACAGCATGTGAATGGTATTTCACTTATAAATCTCAGCCATACATGTGAGATACACAAACATATCTGAATACTTACTATAATATCCATCTGCATCGTCCCAATTGTCATGAAGACCACTCCTCTCTATACGCAAACCATCTCCTTTGCCCTGCAAACAAGGGGGGAAAAAATATCTCATGGCCCTTAAACAAAAGGAAAAAAGAAAACTGCAAAAAACATAGTTTCTCATACCATTTTACGAACTGCAGCAGGTGTTTCTCCAAAAATATCGTCACAGAATATTCCATCTGACCCCTCAGCCTGCACTTATCAATATCAAAAAAATTTAAGATGATAAAATAAAAGGCATAACTACGGCAGCAAAAATTTCAGAAAGTGGAGCTCAAATAAGACTTTGAAGTTCTAAAAAGAATTTCAGGGGAAAAAAAGGAATCTACCCTCTCACATAAGAGAGCATTCTGCGCACCTTTGGAGTACCCTCTCCAAGTCCTTTGGTACCAGCAGTTTTATCAGACGCAGCTATTCCATTTTGTTGTGGTGATTTTTCCACAACAAACGATGAATCAGCAACACTATCATCCACCACACCATCAACCAAGTCTGGAATAGCATGAGCACCAGCTTCTGATTGAGAAGAATCGTCTGTGGAATCCTTATCTGGTCAAGATAAATCGTTAAGTGAGACAGAGAAAGTCACTAAGTTGCCTGCCTAAGTAGCAGACCTACCAACATCTCCATCAGAAGTTTTTAACTTAATCTCTCTCAAAGAGAAATAGAAGCCAACTTAACTCAGTTGCTCTAGATAGCAGGTAGACAGGATTTACAAATTAACCTAATCCTTAAATGTGGGAAGGTAAGACTGTGTGAATTAACCGTGTCACATCAATGTGACATCAAGGGGAGAGGAGGTGAACGGAGCTAAGATAAACTATATTCAGATACTATGATTATGCAATAGGAAACTTTGAGTATCAAATAAGAACCTAAGTCCATACTTGTTGGTTTCTCCTGAAAATAATTATAGTCCAAGTAAATGCAGAAATTTTAAATTTTAGGGATATTTGAAAATTACCTTTCTCAGATTCCTTCGAAGAAGGCTTTACTTGTTTCTCTAACTGCTGACACTTGTATTTTTCTAAGATTGCTCGACTCCTCCTTCTACTCTCCTCCTTGATTCTGTTAAGGTACTCCTCTTCTTGATCAGCAAATTGAAATGACATGTCCTCATCCTCTTCCTCTTCAACGTCATCACTATACAGAGAGAAGTTGAACCATAATTGATAATGGCTTCACACTAGCTGAAGGAAACCAAAAAAAATTACCTCATTAGATTGTCTTCGCCTCCTTCAAGAGCATTTTTCTTAAAACTACCATGCTTTTCATAAGCATTTCTTCCTCCATTCTGACCAGATTCATTCTCATAACGTCTAGACTGCTTACTAGAAACTTTAGTATAGCCATGTTCAAGGTTCCCATACTTATCCTTACTACTTAAAATATCACTGGCTTTATTTTTATTTCTATCATCTCGTCTCTCTCTATCTGATTCTTTGTCCCTAAACCGGTCCTTTGACATCTCCCTCACCCTTTCCTTGTCTCTGTTTCGATCACTATATTCAGCCTCCTTATCATCATTCCGAGCTCTGTCCCTATCCCTTCTCCCATCCCAGTCCACTTCTTTGTCCTTGCTCCTATCTTTTTCCCTTTCTCTTCTTCTATCCCTATTACCCTCTCTATCTGTGCTCCTACATCTTTCCTTCTCTGCTCTTCTATCCCTCTCTACCTCTCTTTCCCTACTCCAATCTCTTTCCTTATCCACTCTTCTATCTCTTTCTGCCTCCCTTTCCCTACTCCGATCCCTTCCCTTCACTCTCCTGTCTCTTTCCACATCCTTTTCCCTCCTCCTATCTCTATCCAATTCTCTTTCCCTACTCCTATTTCGTTCTACCTCCTTCCTTCCATCCCTACTCCTTCCTCTTTCTCTTTCATCAAACTTGTGCTTATCTCTCTCAATATTTTTATCTTTGCTTTTTCCCCGTTCTTTTTCCTTTGACCAGTCCCTGTCCACCTCTATCTTACTTCTCCCTCTGTCCTTTGTATCCCTGCTTCGATGCCTTCCCTCCCCCCTAGCATACTCATCAAATCCCAAACGATCTAAACCACGATGAGGACTCCTCTTGGATTCCACCTCCTCTTCTGCTGTTTCACGAGACTGAGATTGCCCCCTGAAGTGAGAATTTGACCTTGATCTACTCCTACAATCTGATGCATCAATGAATCGATCATGAGATGTTGATGGCGTAAAATCCTGGGACTTATCTTCAGCCCTTTCCAACTGTGGCCTTTTTGAATTCCCCAAGGTGCTTCTGTCTGTTACCACTTTTTTATTGTCAATGTCGCTTATTTTCATACTGCCACCTTTGGAAAAAGATGACATTTGTTTGTGCCGACTCTCATCTAACTCAAGAAATCCTTGATCAAATTCACTTTTGTTACGACCCTCTAGACAGGGTTCAAAATCGCCGTATTTAGTTCCAGTCACTTCACTTCTGGAAAAGCTAACATCATTGCCATGTTTATGGCCACTGTTAGTTTGGTAGAAAGTCGTGCTTTCCTCATCTAAGTCCTTTTTTAGATAATAACCATCTTTGTCCACTAAATTAATTAACTTATTCTTCTCTTTCGACATCTTCTGATCTTGAGGACAGATTCCTGCTCCCTTTTTCACAGTTAAATTTGCCTCGGTATTAGATGATCCATCCACCGAATAATGCTCCTGCAAAACCAATATAGCGTAAAGGCTTAGTGCAGGTGCTTGCATAACAAAGTCCCAGTGAAATTACAGTCAGGCAGCATAGATGCATAGTAAGAAACACGTAACCAGATCTTACAAATTAAATGCAAGCCTGAATCTTCATTGAAACGCCTACTGAAACTTCTTTTGAATTTCACTTGATTTCGTGAGGTGCAATCAGATTCTTACATGAGCAAGGAAACACTGAATAAATCTAACAAAATGTCACCGTGAAAGTTCCATCATAGTCTAAATTTAAATACAAGAAAATAATCCACAATTGACAACTGACAGGAACGAAGAAAAATATATGTACCTGTAAAAGGTCCGTGCTCTTTGTTTACGGACAAGTTAAAAATGCCTTTGTTCATTTTCTAAAAGAACCAAACCCCTAAAACTACTTTTGATTTTCAAACGTTAATAGCCCTAGTCTTTTTTCAAAATTTCACGGCAATCAAACAGAATGTATGAGTAAAGCAACAAGCAACTTGTCAAGCTGACATACAATAGTGTTGGATGGAGGCTTACCACAATGGACCGATCAGCTCTATCAGAATTTCCATCAGCTTCAATTTCCCCATATTCCACATCCGCCTCCTTCATCGCACTCTCATTCTCGCGAACGCCAGACTCATCCTCTTCGAGAATTTCCCCTTCCTCCACATCATCTTCAAGCCGAGATCTACGGTTAGCAACAGGAGGAACACTATCGTCCTGGTCACGATAGCTTTCTTCTTCGTTCTTATTGCTACCGTGACGATGTCTGTGGTGGTGGCGGCGATGATGACGATGCTTATGACGCTTCGAGGACTTCTCCTCCTCCTCATCGGAAGCAGATCGGCGGTGCTTCCGGTGAGTAGCGTCGTTAGCCATTGAAGTCGGAATAAATCTAGGGTTTCTCTCTCAACCTTTTCGCTGTATACGCGTTCTAGGCCTTCAGAGAACAGAACGTCGAAAAGAGATCGTTGCCTTGTATCCTTACACGATAATTATTTTATTCTTATTTATGTAAATAATTTCCAAAATACGAGATTTTACTTAACCGGTTACCGGAGTTACGGATAGGCGCGCCGAGCGTATTGGCCACTTGCCACGGCGTTGGTTATAGTGATTTATCTTTAGGAGACGGTATCCAGTGAGTTGCGTATTTAAATCGATTTTTATTTACTTTTCCTAAATAAAATAATATTAAAAATATATGTTTTTTTTACATGTATTTTAAAAATTAATTAATTTTATATTTACTCAAATTTTTAAAAGTAAGGGTTTATTTTTAATATTTAAATTTTCTATTTTTATTATAATTATTCCAACACTTTAATGGATTGATTTTAATGGTCGAAATAATAATTCGAATAAATTTTTTATTTTAATTGTTCTAACACTTAACTTTTTTTGTTTCTTAATGATTCGCGATGATCGTAAAGCTCTTTTCTCGAAAAAGTGACGTTACGATGATCTTATTGGAAATGTTGATGCTTAGTATGGCTTATTTGGTACCCGTGAAGTCACCCTATGAAACTGTGGAGCAGATAGATCAGTTCTTGACGTGGCTATTGCTCTATGGCAATACATACTCAACTCGCTCCTACCCATCCTAAGATACCATAGTATGTCAGGAATAATGGGGGACATAGACGTAATCAATTCCTTGGTTGGAGGTTGTGCCGCCTTGCCTTTACGATAATGTAATAACTCAAACTCACTAGTAGTAAATATTGTTCGCTTTGGCTCGCTACGTATCATCGTCAACCTCACGATTTTAAAACGCATCTACTATTGAGAGGTATTCATACTCTATATATGGAATCTCACGGATCAATATACCAAGAATACAATCATAGACAACAAAAATGTCAAAAGAATTATAACCAAAACGACACAAATAGAGCATTCATCAATTAAACCCATAATTACATTGAGTCAAAGCCATGTGTTTCCAGCTAGACTCACCCCTTTAAAATGTTTTCAACTCTGATAAAAATCATCTATTAATCTACGATGATTTTGTTGCATTCAAAACTCAATATTTTATATTTTCATAAAAACAATAATTTCTAAAACTAGACAACAAAGAGTATGATCCTTTATTTATCTACGAATGTGACTGAAAATATTCCATTATATATCACAATATCTTCACCATTATCGGAAAGAAGAACCAAGCAATCTCTTGACCGTTGAAACTCTACTGGATGGAATCTGTAATTTTCGTGTCAATATCACTTTCTTGTCCAGCAAATTCACCACCACAGACTCTGTATCTAAATCCACAACAAAAATCATTCAGAACTTTCAATTATAAATAACCCAGGTTCCAAAAAGAACAGTAAATAGTACATATTGTTCACTTTGAACATAAACTTTCACAGCTTTGCTTCGAACTTCTAAAAAAATCTCACACCACCCACTATCATTCCCTAAATTAGCCAATGTGTGACTCCCTCCAACAATTCTCCCCTGAGTTTTCAAACAAATTACACTATTTATTTGATACTTTAGTCACTTTTGACTATACTCTAATTCGCAATTCTTTATGACTAAGTTAAGAGCATGATTCTAATATCATATTAGAAATAACTGATCTACTCGACACCATTGTCAAAAGATCGGAATTAGATTCGGAAGAAAGAGAGCCCCAAAATTCTCAGAAACTCACCGTTCATTTTGGAAAGAATATTCGCTAATTTCTTCTGGCATTCAGCGCAGCCAATGTCCGCCGTGAACACGATTTCCTGAACCTGGAGAATCACGGACCATAAAGGGTTAATTTCAGCCGGAGAGCTCGAAAAACGGCGGAGATAACAGAGAAAAAGCAGAGACGAGAGGCAGAGATAAGGATTCGATGGAGGCAAGGCTAGAAGCATGAGGGAAAATCTTAAGCTTCCGAACTCCAATTCCCGCCGCCGCCGCCGCCGCCTTGTTGGGCCGCTCCGCCATGGTCCGGTTAAACGCTGGCGGTGAAACAGGGGAGGATTTTATGAGCCATGGATGATGGGACTGTGAAAAGCTTTGTTTAAGTGGTTGCGATAAAGGACTAGGGGAAAGGAAGATAAGTAAGAGTTGACAAAGATGGTTCGTTTCACAATGACAGCTGCTTTCCGCAAAGAGTTACCCAATTTTTTCCTCGCATGGATGATTCCTTCGAGGTTGCTTGTGTGACCAAAAACTCCCTTGTTTTTTACTTCGGTTAAAACATGCACTTTGACTTCAAAAAAACACTATCAATCTAATCACGAAATAACGTTTGTAAAGGCTCAAGCTCATTGTTAAACGATATTATTTGTTTTAGCTCGTTATATATCGTCATCAGTCTAACGTTTTTAAAACGCGTCTATTAGAGAGAGGTTTTCACACCCTTATCAAGAATGCTTCGTTTTCCTCTCCTAGAATCTCACATTCCACTCCCTTCAAGGTCCAGCTTTCTAGCTGACATTGGTTCCATGTGAGATCTCACAATTTTATTGGTATAAATAGTAATGTCTGTTGGATGATGAAAGTCATACATCCCCTATTTTACCCTATTCTAGGGAATGACCATGTATTTATAAGTGAGGAATATTATCTCTATTGTTACAAGACATTTTGGGGAAGTCCAAAGCAAAGTCACTATAGTTTATGCTTAAAAGTGGACAATATCATACAGTGGAGAGTCGTGTTTATCTAACGATTTCAATTATTTAAAATTTTAATCGTGAGACTGTGGTTTTAATTCATTCCTATACTAAATAAAGGTAAAATTAAAATTATATACATTAATTAAATTAATTCATATAATAGAAAACCAAAAAAATCCAATCATTTTTACCTTTTGATTTTCAGATCTCTTTTTAACCTTCCCAGTCGCCAAGTGGCGTCCAAGCGGGAAAACGACGCCGTATTACACAGGGAAAAAGGGAAAGTTGCTGGGAGGAAGCGACAGAGATCACGCCATGCTCCGCTCCCAATCCCCAACGGCTCCAAGGACTATAATACGTCGCCGTCTTGACCACTTATTTTTATTTTTATTTTTAATTAGCTTGTAATTAAAGCTTTAACAAATAGTGACGTGGATTTGGGGTATTAATCATGGGCGCTCCACTACCAACAAACAATAACCCATGTCTTCAGTTTCAACCATTTTTTAGTCCTTGGATTTATGGTCTATTTTGGCGTCTTTTAAAAATATTTTTTTCCCAAATATGGCGTAATATTTATAAATTATGACATCATAATTTTCATTTGGAAGGATTAAGTTATGAAGAGGAGAAATTAGTTATATTTTTTTAGAAAAACCAATAATAAAAGTCACGCCAATGGGCCAGAAACTATTCCTAACTGTTCCTACGTGTACCTGTCATTGTCATGAATCAAACATTGTAGTGTTGGGACGACATGTCGACCCAAGTTCGCGCCAAGATGTCGGTTTGCCACTTGAATAACATGACATTATTACTGTTACAGGATGTGACCGTCCTTTTAATCCAAAAAATATTTTTTTGAGATAAAAATTAATGAACGAAGAATAATTCAACAAAAATTATTATTTTTTTTTAATTTTATAGTATTTCATACAATATAAAAATAGTTTAGAAAATACAAAAAATGCAATGAAAATACGAACAAATAAAGTGAAAAGAAATAAAACAACGTAAATAAACGAGCCTCGAAATAAAGGAGTTTAAGGGTACGGTTACCTCGGACGAAATAAAACTATAATTTTGAACCAAAATTCATGAGTAAAAATATAATATAAAATTTTGGGACTAAATTAAAACATTTAAGGATAAAAGTATTAATGCATAAAAATAAATTATTTTTTTTTTTCACACGAAAAAAAAGCCCATTTCATTTTAGATTTGGGCCCATATACGAGCTTGTGGGTCAAACATCGGCCCAATGATACTCGGAAAACGTGGCAAGCCCAATTAGTGAGCCCATTCTTCCAATCTCGTAAAAAGTTTGTTCCCTTCTCATCTCTATTTATCATGAATGCTGAACTGAAGGTTAGTTACTGTTCAGTCTCTGATCTTTCAAAGGAACTGTAAGCCATTAAGCCATCTAAATTACATTAAACTGAATTCACGAATCACAATCAACACAAAGATTCTCAATCTATTCCGATCTATCCAATTTAAGGGTTTTTTTTTGGGTTAAGTTTTGCCAAAGACTGATAACAACAGTTTTGCAAAGGCATGGGAAGCGTGGGAGTAGACATGCCTATGTTTAAATCGAGTTTTGTAATAGACAAAACATGTATCATGAATACTTTCATGAAACTGTTAAGCTTATATTTGTTTGAAGCATCCATGGAAGGCTTCTTTTTGTGATATACTAACACTGTTGAGATGTGCTGCTTGCTTAGATAAGATAAAGTGAAGAAGCGGTTGTCCTCAGAAGGACATGAAAGTCACCAGTCCAAGCTGATATTTCTAGAAATGTAAAGCTTATCAATATATTCTATAACCGGACCCGAAGCGTCGATATACCTTTTCATTTTCTTCTCTGCAAGCTGATCTGCAATGGTGAAAGAGGTGTTGTAAATTTGATTGTGTAAACAACAGATTCAGGTGTTTATAATTGAAAAGAGTAAATGAAATGCGCCTACTGGTCTCGTTGAGATTTAGCAGAAGCTGCTCCCTGGTTGGAAGAGTATACATTCCAGCAGAAACTGCCATTCTGACTGTCCAGGGGTGGTAGGGCGCACAAACTTGTGTATAAGCTGTTGAAGCAGCTTCCTTTAACGAGTATTCTCTAGAGATACAAGGCAGCAAAGCTAGTAAGTTTTGACCTTTGCATTCATTATTATTAACCCAATAATCTCAACTTTTAATTTAGAGATCTAACTTGTGGAGAATTGATATTGCAGGATTTAAGTGAACTTACTGAGTTTTGATTGCAGGAAGGAAGAGAAAAGGGGGACAGAGAACTTACTCAGTGGACATGAACTGTTGAAACAGAGCTCTAACAAGGTCCAAACCTTGTCTAACTCGACGCAGATTGCGAGAATTGCTTCCGGGTGCTTTAACTGTGTCATTTGCAATATCATCATCAAGTATTGTGAGCAATGTCTCGTGCTTCTTTGAAGCTTCCGAAAGATCACGCACCTGAAAAAAAAAAAAAACATCAAAAGGGGGTGATTCCATTAGAATTTCCAACATCTTGCTGATGGTTGTGGTGAGGAAGTCCCACGTTGGTTAATTAAGCGGATGATCGTGGATTTATAGGTTAGTAAATACATTTGAGGTCGGCCTTTTGGGAAGCTAAAAGCAAAGTCACGAGAGCTCTGTTACAAGTAGACAATATCATTCCATTGTGGAGAGTTGTAGTTTCTAACATGGTATAGAATTCATGCCCTTAACTTAGCCGTGTAGAACAAAAAAGTTGTGGGATGTAGTGAAAAGTGACTAAATAGTGGAACAAAAAAGTTGTAAGTTGTAGTAAAAAGTGACTAAGTGTCAAGGATTCCTTCAAAAAGGAGTTGAGCCTTAATTAAGGAGAGACGGTTTGTGGGTTGCATAGGCCTCAAAAGAGGCTCTATGATGTACTTTGTTCAAGGGGAAGATTGTTTGAGGATTGTAGGGGGAAAGTCCCACACGGGCTGATTAAGGGGATGCTCATGAGTTTATAAATAAGAAAATACATCTTCATTGGTACAAGATCTTTTAGGGAAACCAAAAGCAAAACCACAAGAGCTTAGGCTCAAAGTGGACAATATCATATTATACTATTATGGAGAGTCGTATTTCCTAGCACATCTTTCATAAACGAAATAGATGAAGAAGAATAAGAAGAAGAATGAGAGGAGGAATATAACAATAACAACAACCTTGGAGTCGTACTCTAACTCGGCGAATTTGAAGGCGAGGCCGAGAGAACTAAAGAGAACAGAGACGAGAGAACAAGCGTCACAGAGAACATCCAATCGGAGTTGTTGGGAGGAATCCTTAAAGGAACATACTAATTTGGCAAGCCCTTCGAAGGACTCGGCTATGGCGGAAAGAGGGGTCGCACCATTTTCCATTTTTATTCTCGCCCTCAAAATCCACCACCACTATATAATACATAATAATTTGAATGAATGTTGTTTTGGTGTTTTTGGGAAGTTGCGAAGTTGGCTATGGATGCGGTTTGTCCAACAGAAAATTGAAAAGAGAGAGAGAGAGAGAGAGAGGCATATGGCCCACGAAAGTATGCCACTGATTTCGCGCCATTTCAGTAGGGAAGACATGGTTGCTTCATTCGTCTCATCCCATCTTTGACCTTCTCATTCAAATTTCACAAATCTCTGTCCCTTCACAACTGGAAACATTTACGTATTTTCCAACTCACACATAAACTTCAAAATTTAATAATTGGTTTAGATTTTGTTTTCTCAATTGAGTTCAATTTGGGTCACTCGATTGAGTTGGATGGAAGCCGATGAAAGGTTTATAATCAAGCAATAATTCGATTGAGTCGGATATTTTACATTGTATGCATATACCAATCTTGCTGTGCATAATGTTTTTCTTTTTCTTTTTTGTTCTTATGAACATTTATCCCAATCAAGATTGTAAAATATCCATAAAGTTGATATTTCAATTAAATTATGCAAAAATTTCTAAACAAAAACTTGTTTATCCTAACTGCAAATTTCTATGTTTAAACTCTGCGCTCAAAACAGAGACTTCCTGTTCCAAATATAGAATTTCAAGCTCTATAACTCCCACTCTGGCCCTCAAACAGCCCCTAAAAGAACAAATCAAAGATCAAATAGTGCATGCAGATGGCGTAGGTTGAAAACAATATCTAAAAGCATTAATGAAACTTATACATTACATCAACAGAGTAATAAAGCGGTTAACATTATATAAAAGAAGCACTTCGACGATTGTCAGCATTCCAAACTTTGCATGAAAAATCATTTGGTGTCTAAGGCAACATCACTCAACAAATAAAAGACACAGAAAGGACGTAGAAAAAGTAGTTGAAAACAACGAATAAAATGAACGGACGGTATATATAACATGAACGGATGGCAGGCTCGAAGTATTGAGTTGCGAATTAAAATTGAAAAGGATAAAATGCATCTTCACATCTATATGTTCACAACAAGCACCATTCACAATGTGGCCAGAGGCGAAAAGAGAGAGAGACAGAGACCCGAGGGGGGAGCACAACGGATAAATACACAGATTCTTTCCTTTTTGTTTTCTTGTTGGATTGGCCGTCATTTCTTTTTCCTTTCCTTTTTGGGGGTTTCTTAAAATGGGCACAACGAAAAGAGAATGGACTAATTAATTCTGATTACCCTCAAATTCGTGAATATGATCTAAAAGGTAGTTCGCAGCCATTTCCTCGTTCTTGTTGCAGGCGAAGAAAACCTCCACCACTAGAGCTCTGTCGAAACCTAAATCCTCAAGCTGTTGGGGAGGGAAAGACAATTATCCAAAATATCAATTTAAGAATCAAGATGAATTCAGTTGTCTTTATCATCATAAGATAATAGAGAAGGTGAACTAACCCGTTGAATGGCTTCCCGTTCCTCTGGGGTTACAGTTATAGCCTGCGGCATAGCATCAGCAAGCTGCCCAAGTACATTCCTGAACAAGCTTTAAATTATTAATACATAAACTTCCACCATTGTTTCAAATTGAGATGTGGGGAACAGAAATTTACCCTTCTCCTTCAAGAGGCTCATTAATCAAGCGGAGGAAGTCAGGTTGATGATCTTGAATAAGTCTAATAAGCTGAGGATTTTGTTTACCCAACTCTTGAAGCATAGGCTGAAACAAAATCAAGGAAAACAAAACTTGTATAAAATGACAACATATGGCACCTTGCTTTTTTTTATTAAAAAAAAAAAACAAGTATCAAGTGTACTAGATGAAAAACCTGGAGTATCTGAGGGTTAGCTCGCACCATAGCTCGCAAAGCTTGGAACTGAGATGAGAAAGAACAAATTCTCAGAGGTGGGCAATACATGATGTGAACGTGTCCGTTTGTATGTGGAGAGAGGGAGAAGGAGAGAGAAGGACCTGAGGACTATTTCGTAGAAAATCAAGACTGCCGGAACTAACGGCTCCGGAAGCTAAATTAGGTACACCCTGAAATAAAAAGGGGGACAAAAGAAAAAATCATAAACTTGCAAATTTGAAAACCCATATATAACATTGCTCACTATTCTTCTTTCTACCAATAATTGCAACTGACCCTATAAGTTGATTAATTTTTCTTTCCCTACCTGAGGAAAGAGATCTAATGGATTAGCATTTGGACCAGTGGCTGTCGCAGACGCAGGTTGGGCAGGCTGTGCAGGTTGAGCGGAAGGGTTGGTCACTGGAACAGTAGACGGAACATGAGCAGCAGGTGGAACTTCAACTTGTTCAGGTATGCCCTACAGGAGATAATTTTGTTCAAATAATGCCATTCTAAACAATTGACCTTGCAGAGATAAAAGTATAGCCATTAATAATTTCATTCTCTGAATGTGAAGGAAAACCTAAAAAATAACAATAGAATGGAAAAAATATAGACATCTGCAAATAGACTTACAGAATAAAGGTAATCAACAGCCCTTTCTGGATTATTGTAAGCAGCACGAAGAGCTTGAACAACAGTGTCCCTATCCCAAATCCCTCCGCCCATGAGAAGAATCTGTTGGATAGTCTCCTCCAAGTTACTGCCCGCGACCAGGTTAGAAGCTGCTTGGCTGTAGACATCAGATTCTGGCCTGTTTTTCATGAAGTACAATAAAGGAAATTCAGAAAACTAAGTCTGAAAATAAAGAGCGAATAAACCTTTGCATTGAATAAAAAAGGTAGAACGGGAAGGAAGAACTACTAACAAGACAGTGGTTGCAGGTGCCTGAGCTGGCGCTGGAGCGGGAGCTGGAAGAGAAGAGGTGGTAATAGTAGCCGGACTGAAATAAAGATCATTGTCGTAATCATAAATGCTCCAAGAACAATTATTCTGGACAGATATAGTGAAAGACATAGCAGATAGATCTGAACTCACGGTGCAGAAGTTGGCAGAGGAACTTCAGATGTTGAGACTGGAGTTGCAGCAGGTGCAGGGGCAGTGTTCTGTGGTGCCTGCAAGGAGGTCCTCCTTGTCATACTATATCTATATTTTTTTCTTTAATTACGTCTCGATCAGGAATATGGGTAGATAACTAACAGTATTTTATGGGAATAAGTAAATAATCACTATTGAAGAACACTGCACCAACTCCGAAGGGTTGGCAACAGAGCATCAAACATCATGCCACGTTTGTATATGATCATTTGGAGATGATCACATGTAGAACTGTATCATAATGTCCATAAATAATATAAGTACTTGAAGACAGATTAAGGACTCTACTATTTAAGCAATAAACATGGAACTTTTTTAGAAAAACATCTGCCTACAGAGACAGGTAATAACTATTAGGTGACAAATAAATACATACAACAAAGAATTTATTGGACAGAAGTGAATTACAACATTTAAGGCATTCAGAGACACACTGAGACTATCATCGCCATTACCACTGGTCAGTAAAAAAAAACATAGAATTATTATAACTTACCTTTGACACTGGTGCAGCTTGTGTGGTAGAAGACGTCCCACCCGATGAACTTTTATTCTACAAACAAAAAGATTAAAAAAAAAAAAAAAAAAAGGACTATTTGAGCAAAACAAACGGTAAAAAAGAAAATCAAAAGGGTTCACACTTCAATCAAATCCAAGTGCAAACAACAGGAACAATGCTACAAAACGTCATAACAACCAAATATAAAAGCAAGCAGAAACTCTCTTCCGTCCTAGTGCTGACACTTCCCAGCCTGAGCTCAAGACTACAAATTGCAAGCCTCCCTATCAGAGCAATGTAATAGACAGCGTTTGCAAGACATTCCATCAATCTATTGAAGTAGAACATAATCTTACCTACGTATAACACTAGGTAAGTAATAAATACCACATGTTTCCGAACATTTTTTCCTTTTCTTTTCCTTTCTTCTTTTGAATGAAAAACCAGATTTCATTGGAAAAAAATGAAAGATCACAAAAGGGAAAACAAAGAAACAACCCAACAAAGGGAATGCCAAAGAGATCCAATCCTGGAGAATCAAATCTAAGAAATAATAACAAAAATCATTACATCCTTGGAATCAGACGCTCAAAGGAGAGCGCCATCCCAAAAGGAAGGGTGGAAGATCACCTCCACCAACATCAAGCAACTGTAAAGATCACCTCGTCCAGATAAGAATAGAATGCCCAACAATTTTCCTAACAAAATTTCTTCATCCAACCAAAGTTGCATGTCTCTTTACATTTTTCTAGCTTAAAAATGAGTATTTTGTGGCAAAGCTGTTAGAGTGGAGAAGCACATCCAAAAATATATATTTCCCCTTTAGGTATATAGTTCATCCTTAACAATCAAGAGCACTTGTTATAGCCATCCACAAATGAGGACAAAAAAGCATAGCCAGGTTCAATTCCAGTCTCCAACATGGTTGAGTAATCTATATAACTCTTGTCTGGTTTATTAGCGTATAACCTCCACTAAAGTAAAGCCCAGAAGTTAAAGGCTTTCATGATGAATTTTTGAAATTGTGGCACGTGGTAATCTAATATTTTTACTCACTCAATATTTATTTTTGTTTAAACATGGAATCAAACTTATTATTATTAGTATTTTGTAATAATATAAATTTCAATCTCTCATCTCCCTAGAATTTGTTATTTACACAATCCTTTCAATTAAAAAAATAAATTAGCTGCATTACCTTTGTTAACATGATTACAATAAAACTATTTTCTGCAACTTTATTTTCATCCAGTGTTGTGCCATCTTTAAGGACTTTTCCCTGATGGATAAGCATCTGCTGTGCAGCAGGGTAAACATCAGCACCCTGAACAGTTTCTATTTTTTTCTTCACATCAGCAACCTAAAACCAACAAAACTCAGTTAATGTAACATTCAAAAAGGCAAAAGGAAAACATGGTGGCAAAACAGTTCAAAAAAATATAACAAAATAAGATACGACCATGTGTTTACAAAATTTACCGAAGGTACCATAGACAAATTGCACTTGTAAAATTGTGCAGTAAATGTCTACATACAACAATGATCAACTATTTATATGAAGATTTCCAGAATGCAGCTTATGTACTCTCTCTGCTTCATAGATGTTTGGTGCCAGCAAGCAGCATAATTAATGCAGCAGCAATACCAAGCCTTTTAAGACTTTTAAAAGAGAAAGGAAAACAAATTAAGGGCCAGCAAATCTATTTAGATTTTTCTTGATGAATAACCAATCTTTCAAGGAATATAATGGCATCCAAAAGACCAATCCCACAAAAGAGGAAACCCCTTTAGGAAAAGGGACAAGGGTCCCTCTCAAGTCCCCTATAGGTCAATTTTGTTTCTCTCCCGGACAAGCCACACAAAACCGTGCGAATCCTTGCCATCACAAAAACATTCCCTTCTCTTGATTTGAACAGGTGACACAAGGGTATTCGTAATGGCAATGAGGGAAAAACTCTTCGATTATATCCAAAAGGCATTTGTGTCTAGAAAACTGCAAGTCAACCACCTAAAAATAAGAACACAAAACACCAAGCAAAGTCACAGCTCCAAAGAATATGGACAAGGTCTTCAACCACCATTCGGGCAGCGAATACAACAAAATGACCACTCAAAATTGGCAATTTCCTTGTGAGATGGACTAAAACCTAATGGGATTGGCAACAAGTAACAAGACTGAAATAGGCACAGTTCCTTTCCTTAATTCACCTGGACATAATTCTTCCAGTGCTTGCTTCAAGCAAGACAAAGCCAATATCAAGAGCCACAACCACGATAATGAGACTGGCATATGTTCTTTCAGAAATCATTGGGGGGAGTGGAAGTAATATGAATTGACAAATGTGGATATGAGAGAACTACTCTTTCAAGGCAGTGTTTACTTACAAATTAGCAGCTCATTAAAATAGATTCAGACATGACAGCATCCTCAAGAGACTGTTGATAGAAATTAGAATACCAAGCTGCTTCCAGAAAAGTTACTATTCATGTGGTATTAAAAGGCACCTTGGAGATGGGAATTGGTTTGAACACAAGATTAGAGCACAGGTCTAAGTGCTTAAGCCCATAAAATTAGGAATGATGGAAGAAAGCATAAATGACAGAGGAGTAAAAACTATCTTCCGGTACAAGGAAGAGCAGTCCTGGGTGAAATTTGGATCATACTAGTGATCACCAAGGTTGTCGTGACTTCCATACAAATCTAACATGTAAACCCCAACTAAGCTTGACACTAGGGAGCAGGTTGAATAAAGACGGTTTGACAAAACCCAAATTACAAAGAAAACTCCTCATTTAAAAGACTGTTTGATGTAAACGACAGTTGATAGTTTTGGTTCAAGTACAAAGAGAATTTCACTTTTAGCCTCAAGGACGTTTGCAGAACAGGGATTCTGCAAATATTAAGTAGATCCACGAGAAATAAAAATGGAGATAAGTCGGGAGAAAATGTGATAGATAAGATGCAAGTGCTTAGCAAGAAGTGCTAAGGTTTGCCAAAATTCTATTGTGGGAATTGCATTACCTCACATGGTAAAACTGAAAGGATCAGTTTAAGGGAAAACTACAGTAGGATACTATATTGCTCGAGCACATAATTTCATCAATAAATGAAATAAAAGGAGTTAAACACTCTTAATCACCGAAGGTGCATTAAATGAAAAAGCTCAAATTAGCGATTACTAATGAGATTATTCTTATCCATACAACGTTTATCTTCTGTATTTATTCAATCAATCAATATTAAACCTACCTTCTTTGTCTTTCTTATTGTTTTTAATTTAATATATCATATACAAAATGCAAGCAACGAGATCACTTGTGGTCTAAGTCCACAGCGCAAACGATGACATCAGTCGTGAAGTTAGATATAAGATTGAATTAGCGGGCAAGAAAGTCCTACATCAACTATGCAACTTAATACTAATGACAAAGCACAACAATCGAAACCTCCTGTAGCTACAAATGACGAGAAAAACTACTTGATGCTTTACTACAGAGAAAAGAAAAGATCAAACGAAACACAAATCGAGTACAGAATTAGTGCAATAACAACGATGAACAATATGAAATTTCCAAATCACAACACAATTTAATCGTACAAAAAACAGCAATACAAAAAGGAAAACAACGAACTACCACCGCATAAACCCTAATAACTAATCAATTGGAAGTAACAAACACACACCGGAATCCAAAACATAGTTGAGAGTCCTCGATTCCAAGTCACAGTCTTAATGCAAACGATTAAAACGAGAAACGAAACTAAAACCGATAAAGAAAGTAAACTAACCATATCTTGAGGCTGCACTTCGATTTCGAAGTGTGAGCCCTTGAGAGTCTTGACGAAAATCTTCATCTTCAGAACTCGATCGCGGCCTTCGCAGAGATGCAAGACCACAGCAGCACGTCGTACGCCGGATTCGAGAGAATTATGCTAGTACCCTAGAGCGAGCAAAGCCTCCGAACGACGGTAACCGAAAGCGCAAGCAAAGAGAGCAAGAAGGATTGGATCAGAATTCCGCGATTTTATATAGGAGAATGTAGAATCCATTATCACGCGCTAGTTGGAGCGTGTAAACTACGCTTTTTAAAAAAAATTGATCAACAATGCGAGGAAAGAGCGCGTGTTGAACATGTAGTAGTTATGAGTTGGTGATGAAAGCTGGAAAAGTTAGTAGATTTTTTTGTTTTTTTTTATTTTTTTGCATTTTTTGCATTTTGGATCCGACGTGGCCTTCAACTTCGAACTGTGCGTTTTTTTTGGAGTCTCAAATCACCGCTTGATTCGTTGAATTATGTTTATCGTTTAAATTAAATTTAGTTTCAAATTTGTTAATTTGTTTTCTTTTTTTGGAATTATACGAAATTTCAGTTTGATTTGGAGAGATTCAAATTTAAGGAATGTTATGTTATAAGTCTTTAATAATTCACCTATTTTATTAATATAAGTCTTAGACGTATAAATTAAAACTTAGACACCGAAAGTTAAAGTTAAAGTTAAAAATTATAATGTAGTTGTGAGATCCTATATCGATTAAAGGAATATGGAACCCTCGCATTAGTAAACGTGTTTTAAAGTAGTGAGGTTGACAACGATATGTACTAGTGGTGAGCTTGGGCTGTTACAAATAATGTCAAAGTTATGCATCAGACGTATGTTATCGAGGATGCTAGCCCCTAACGAGAGCGGATTGCGAGATCCCACGTTGGTTGAAGAGGGAAACGAAGCATTCAGATTCATTATAAGAGTGTGAAAATCTCTTTTTAACATATGCGTTTTAAAACTTCGAGAGGGAACCCATAAAAGTTTGTGTTGTTATACTAATACCAAAAAAAATTCCGACCAAAATTATAAGGTGAAATCGAGTGAATAAATCAAAATTTTTAACCTACTAGACCCGCTGATGCGATTAGGGTGAGACGTGTGATGATTAGTGGAAGTGACCAATAGTATTGTGAGCTAATCATACGAGAACGACCTAGTATACCTACCTATTTAGTTGAAGTTTAGCTCATAATTAAACCCTAAACCCGAAACCCTATACTTTTAATACTCGGTAAAAGTATTATTTAACTCTGCGTTTTAAAAAAATGGAGAATTTTTTAAAGTTTAAAGATATATTTGAAAGAATATTAAAAATAATTTGTTAATTGGCTAAAATCCTTTTCAGACCAACTTGAACCAAGATTCCACAAGTTGGGCCCGCGGGGAGCAGGCCCTTTGTGAGCCCGAAGACGTGCAATTGAGCTAAGCCCAATTTGGACCTGATCCTTTTGTGGTGGCCAATTTTGGTTCCTAATTTTCAATGCAAGCTCGTGATGGTACCACGCTATGGTCCATGGCACAACCAATTAGCTACTTAACCCGTTCAAAATCACTCCTAAATAAATAAAAATAATCTCGAACCATATCTACATGCTTAATCTATAATTATTTGCGACTCGATTAAAAAGCTGAGTTTGAAATGGTTACGATAAATCGAAATTAGACACAACATTAAATATATTAGATAGTAAAATAAATAAATAACGTAAAAAAGCGTGCATATACCATACAAGAGAAGAGGCATGTCTACCGTGAAAAGTAAAAAGATAAGTAACTGATAAAAATAAATATACCTAAAAGTAAAAAAGAAGATTCTGAAGACTCAACAGATTAATACTCTATTAACGATAATCATATGCTTAACTTGATTTATAAACCGAAAACCCCCATTGGATGATGAAAGTCCCACATCTGTTAATCAAAATAATAATGGGTTTATAATCAATAAATTCTCTCTCGCATTAGCTAGTTAATCAGAATAATCATGGTTTATAATCAATAAATGATCTCTCACATTAGCTAATTTAGGGAACTATCATCTATAATCAGGAATATTCTCTCTCCATTCATTATATGATGTCTTTTGAGAAGCCCAAAGCAAAAGGCCATGAGAGCTATCATAGCAGCGTGAGAGCGTTGATCTAACATGGTATCAAAGTCATGCCCGATTGGTAAATCCTCAAATGTCGAACAAAATACTCTAAAAGAAAAGGAGTCGAACCTCGTTTAAGGGGAGGCGTACTCTAGCTAATTTAGGGAATGTTCACGAGTTTATAATCAAGAAATGCTCTCTCCATTGATACGAAGCATTTTGGGAAGCCCAAAGCAAAATGCTCCTCTCTCCATTGGTACGACTCATTTTGGGAAGCCCAAAGCAAAATGCTCCTCTCCCCATTAGTACGACGCATTTTGGGAAGCCCAAAGCAAAATGCTCCTCTCTCCGTTGGTACGACGCATTTTGGGAAGTTCAAAGCAAAATGCTCCTCTCCCCATTAGTACGACGCATTTTGGGAAGCCCAAAGCAAAATGCTCTTCTCTCCATTGGTACGACGCATTTTGGAAAGCTCAAAGCAAAGCATTGTGGAGAGAGTGTTCTATCGAGCAGTTGGTTGACTTCCGTATATATAAAATAATTTAAATATTTAGTAAAAGAAAAAACATTTGGTGCCTAACCCTTAATTTGGTTAATTCCTCATTCGTCAATATTTCAAATAATAAAAATAAAAAACCATAGAAATCGCCGGACGGCCAATCTCGCCCAAATAGAGTTTGAAGATTTGGAAGTTCTTTCAAATTGCAACCCAGAAATAAGAAAGAAAAGAGAAAGCCATAAGAATTTGTGCAATTTGCGTAATCCTGTGTGTTTTAAATAAGAAGAGAACGAACAAATTTCTATATTCATCTGCGACATCTGTATCAGTCTAATCCTACAGTCCTTTCCATCAACGGAAAAGCATTTACAAATCGGCGACGTTTCTACCTACTGCGCCGGCAGAGATTCTTGCCGCCAAAGAAAATCCGAGTTCTCCGACGCATCCAAACACAGATTCGAATACTCAAACAGTCCATCAAACGCCACATACTCCGCCGTATCGCTTCCGCTATACACATCTCCACCTTCCAGTTCGAAAGCGTCGTAGTTCGGAATCTGATCCTCAAACCTCCACATCTCTCCGACTTCCAACGAATCAGTCGAAACTCTCGCAAACACGGCCGATTCGTCGAACTCCTCCTTGCTAATCGAAGTAACAGAAGGCGGAAGACCGAGTTCATCGTCGGAGGCTTCCAATAGATAACCTAACTCCGGCTGAGACTCACCGGATTCCACCGTCAAATCCACCACCGGCGCCGGAGACGACGACGCAGTGGCGATTTCTTCCTCAAAACTCCTCATCAACGAATCGAGCTCCTGAGTCGCTGGTTCAGGATCGGACTCGTCGAAGAAACCTAAAAGGTCATCTCTGAGTCGCTTCACCTCGGGTGAACCGTTCTCCGACTCAGTAAACTCAGCCGAGTCGTCCCGATCCCGCTTCTTGGAAATTTGATTCTCCATAAGAACAAGAGAGAGAAATTAGGGCTTCTTCTTTAAATTGTTTAGAGAAGATTTTGCAAAAGTTCAAACGGACAGACGCGACAAAGAACGTGAGACAATGAAGGCGGGGATTCGAGGACGGGATTTATATAAGGGGGACAGAGAAGAGAGAGAAGGTAGAAGGCGCGTGGATAATGACGTAAAAGTAGCGCGTGGGAGCGTATACCTATGCTAATCAAAGACGCTTTGCCTTTTCCTTTTTAAATTTTTTATTTTTTAGATTTAAAATTAATTTTATCTTCTTTTTTTTTCTCTTATCCCTAAAAAGAAAATTGTTTCCTACGGAAAATATTCTACCCACCTCCGTTTCATTTTCGTGACTTTGTCCGGTTTCTGTTTTTGAAAAAGAAAAACCAATTAATCCAATTCAATTCCATTTACAAGTCCGCAACTATCCGGGTCAATGACGGTTCCGTTTTTGTTTAAATTGTCGCCTCCCCTCTCCTCCTACCTTATTTTAGTTAATTTCTTTTTTCAAATTTATTCAAAAATTAAAATCTTTAATAAATCTAAAATTATAAAATTATAAACATAATATAATCAGATTATTCCGTTTAAATCCAGAAGGGGTATTTTGGTAATTTTGTTTACGTTTGCTTTTGGTCAAAGGTTTATTTACAAGCAATGAGAATTAGAATATCCAAACTGCATTTTTCTTTTTTTTATTATTTATTTTTTTCTCTTTCCCCTTTGTGGAAGACAAAATGTGGATTTGATACCAAGCCACTTGCGACCCTTTATTTATTTATTTAATTAAATATTAAAATAAAAAAAAACTAGTCATTATTATATATATATATATTAACGGCTTTCTTTCAACGAGTAAACACGTCAATTGATCAAATAGTTACACTGAATGTTTCGTTTCCCTGTTTCTCTCTAACCATTGTGAGATATCATTGATATATATATATATACAGTAATAGTCCAAGTTTATTCTGCTTCATCTTGTTATGTATAGTTGTCTAGCCTTACACAACCTCATACTTTTAATATATATTAATAAATAAGAAAAAAAAAAGGGAAATAATTTAATATGGGAGTTGGAAAACGTAAGGTAGTGGGTACTAAAGATGTGGTGTAAAAGGATGCAATGAATAAGGCGGTGAGTTGGAGTTTACCCAAAAAAGGAGGAATTGGGAACCCAATAATCAAGCGTTTCATTGTCACCTTTTCTAGAAAATCTCCAAATCACTGATGACGTGGATCCCACTCAGCCTTTTAAATTAAATCCAGAATATCTCCTAAAGCTACAAAATCTTCTATTCCCCTCAACCAATCCAATTTTTTCTTCAAATATAAAATATATATAAAAGGAAAAAAAATAAATTAAAATATAATAATTTCTTTAGTTTTAGAATTGTGCGGAAGGAAAGGATTTTCCAGAGGCTGTATTTGACTAATGCAAATTACCCAAATTACCCAAATTCCCTTTTATTGACTTTCTAGATTTGAAATTTTGCGACACGTTATCCCTTTAACGACTACGGGGTATTTTTGGAAACAAATGTTAGTTTTTTTCTTTTCTTTTAAATTAAAGTTGGTAAGTATGTATTTGGAAGGGAATAAACTCCCATGGATGGTAAACTCCATGATCTTATTTGTAAGTTTCTTATTTTTAAATATTATAGAAATTTTATATATATTATTTATTTATTATAATATAATATAAAATAAGTGGTTTAGAAAATGCATATGGACACAGTCGGTCGTACGTGTGGTTGGTGTGGAGCAGTGAGGGGTGACGTGGAAATTAAATTAATTATAGAAAATGAAAAAAAAAATAATAATAATAATTAAATGGTTGGCAATAGAGGAGGGGGGAGGGTCACGTGACATGGAGCACTGGCGGATGGGTGATTTTGTCGTGGGGAATTCATTCTCCCAAAAAATATCAGCAAGTGGCCGACACCCTCATCCAACCCTTCCACATCACACACTTCACACTCTCATATTATAATATTTTTATTATTATTTAATCACGTTATTCTCACTGAATTAATTAAATATTTAATTTTCAAAATTGTTAATAATATGTCTAAAAAATACCATTTAATTTTCAAAAATAGTATTAAATAATAAGGCAATATTTGGAAATAAAAAATTGGAACATTCGAGAAGTGGTGGGACCACAAATAGCACCGGTAATGAAGAAAATGGATGGGAACGGGGTACGTGGAAAGGTCAGCCACAGCCAACCAAAGAGAGGCCGCGGTTCGTCTTACCTGTCGCCCACGTTTCCACGTCCCGTAATAACCACGCCTCCTTTGACCAATCTTGTGTGAGCCGTTAAAACGGCAAACCGCGTTCCCCATTCTCCGTTACGGCCGTCCGTTTCCTTCCTTCTTCGCCCATCAATTTGCCTCTATCCACACATTTATTTTATTTTTATATGTATTAATGTTTTAATAATAATAATAATAATAATAATAAGTCAGATTATATTTTGAGCTTATATTAAATAATTGTTTTTAATTATCTTCCTATGTTTTCCACTGGCAACACTTTAGTGGGAGAGTATTTTAAAATTCATATTGACTTTTAATAAATCCTCATTTCGGCATTAAAAATTTAAAAAATCAAATTATATTTAAAATATTTATAAATAAAATAAAATAACGATGGCGGGCCATTGAAAAAATAATCATATAAACGAAGATGATTAGGGATTCCCCAGCTAGTCCATAATGGTGTACATGGTTTGTGTTGGGTTGAAAGATGAATCGTTGAGTTGTCAAATTGTTTTTTAAGTTTTATTTAAATAAAATATATATCCTGACATACGTGTACATTGAGAGATCAAGTTAACAAATTTATTAATACAAAAAGATTCTTAACCTAATTTATATATTTTTATTTGATTTGGGCAAACTATATTATTTTATCCATGAACTCGAAACCGAATCGATTCAATTCGGGTTCAGAAAAATGAACCCAACTCTACCCGAAATGATAATTAAACCCAACCCAGCACTTATAGTTTGGGTTGTGTTGGTCCGAGTTTTCAGGTTGAATGTACACCCCTAGTCCATAATCATAAACATGACACAATTGTTAAGGTTCCAAATAACTATAGAACTCACTTATGATGTATGATTGTATTATGTGGGATTATTCGGCACTTCACTATTTAATTTACTCTTAAAGAACCTGTCACGAACGGCATGATTTCACAATAATATCTTGAGAGTTGGTTGAACTTTTGAATACATAAAACTTATGAAAACTTATGATCGAATCGCACTTCAAGGGCTTAGATATAGGTCTAGAACAATGATGATAAGAGAAACTAGCAGAAACGACAATTCATAATAGCTAGAAAACTCGAGAAACTGGACCGGGGAAGAGTTTGTGACACTAAATCAACAAAGAAAGATCATTAAAATTTAATAACAACCATAAATATCTAATTCAGTGAACTACAAAAATTAATAAATAAATAAATAAGTTTATTATTTAAAAAAAAAACTAAAATTGAGTTATATCGGTTTTTCTTTTTTGCCAAAGCATAAATAATTTAAGTTGGGATTCAAAATGGGCTTTTCTTCAATAATTTAATTGGGCTTTGACAAGAAAAGGAGAGCCCAAATATGCTGTTTTAATTTGTAAAATAATTTAAGCTTAATTACAAATTTTAATTTCGTGAATTATTATATATTTTTTAAAATGTTATATAATACACAAATAATTAAGGGTTTATTAGATAAATATACTACCTATTTAAAATCTAAATTTAAATAAAGTAAAGTCTAATTTTATTTTAAACAAATAATGGATAACTTTATTCTCAAATATTTAAAATTCCAGAGGGCAAAGTAAATACAATAAAATATTTTTAAAAATTTAAGAAAAAGAAAAAGGAAAAGAATAGCCAACGCTGCAAGTCATTAGAGCATTTCATCTTTATTGACTTCTAAAAGAATTAAAACTTCAAAATACTCTTGGCATCTAACTCTCAATTTTTTTTTATTAAATTAAAATTTTAAATAGTAATTATTTTCTTATTTAATGAATTCTGCTTGAATTGAAAAAATATATATTTATATTAATTAACTTTTATATACCATCTCTATTTATAGTTTTTTTTTTTAATTTATTACTAATATTTTTTTTTCGTACACCCAGGTTGACCCAATATAACGTTTATTTCTTTGCTTATAGTCATATAACGTTTATTTCTTCAATTCTTCAAACGGTTTCCAATGTATTTCCTCTCTCACATTTTCTAAACCTTTTCTCATGTTGTGACTCGAGGCCCGCACATACACCAATGTCGTTCGTGACGTCCACATTTCTCAAGGTTGATTTGTTTGCTTGATTAAAACAAGTGTTGCACAATCGCTGTGTGAAGTTGAATAATTGCATTTCCTCACAATTGCGCGTCGAGTTTGAATATTGTTTAAGCCAATTGGACCAAGTTTGTTGGACGACAATAAGGTTTACCTCATGATGTTTATTTTTGCTTTTGAGTCTGATTTTGATGGCTTCCTAAATGATATTGACAAGTTTTGCATTTGTTTCTTTGATAAAAGTTGACTCATCTTCACATTTATTATTGATCGAAAATTGGTTACTGTTTTCTTGGGTCCGATACTCAAAATACATTCATATATTATTTGAGAGATAGATCAAATCAAGCTCGATGTACGTAGTCTATAATATAGCCAAAACATAAATCCCAACTCGGTAGTAAAAATTAAAAGATGTTTGTGTTAAGAATGATGCTCTGATACCATGTTAGTAATCAATGATCTTCACAATGATATGATATTGTCCACTTTGAACATAAGATTCCATGACTTTGGTTTGGGCTTCCCTAATGGAGATAATATTCATTGATTATGAACGCATGATTATTCCCTAAATTAGCCGATGTGAGACTTTCATTCAACACCACCCCTTAAACAACATACGTTTCTCTTTAATCGAGTCTCGACTTCTTTTCTTTTAAAGTCTTAGTCATCTTTTACTATAATACTTTTGTTCGAATGATGCTCAGATACACAACATATGTTAAGAATGATGCTCTAGATACACAACTATCTCTATTGGTATGAGACTTTTTGGGAAGCCTAAAGTTAAATCACGAGAACTTATGCTCAAGGTGGGCAATATCATACCATTGTAGAGAGTCGTGTTCATCTAAATGCTTGAACCTAAGCTCGGTCGACCCACCTTGAAAAGTCTTGCCCTCTCGAGGTCCATGTGATCCCAATCTAGCCTTGATTCGATTCTCTTTTGTCCCAATCCTACTAGGAATCAATGAAACCAACCGTCTTCTCCTGCCAGCGTTTAAGTTTCAGTGAATCTTATTCAAATAAACACATTTTTTTTCAAAACAAACCTTCTTGGAATTGACTGATTATTGATACAATAAATAAAAATAAAAACTCGAGCAAGAAAGGTCTGGATCGGGTCAGGCTTACCCGGATCCGCAACCAGAAGGCTCCGATATCAGTTCATCAGTCCGCATGATCGGAGCGATCGAGTTCTTTCAGGGACAGGTGAACTGTAACCTCCGCCGTAAATTTCTACTTCCGACGAGAATCGGCAGCCGAATCGTCGGAAGCAGGTTCTAAGTTCAGATCCAGATCCAGATCCAAATTTCTGTCCAATTTCTGCTCTGGAATTCTCTTTGTTCTAATTTCAACTCCATCGCCTTCTTTCTCGCTCGCCTTCGCCGTCTTCGCTCTTTTCCCCATCAAAAAGCTTCTCGCACCATCGATCTTCTCTATATATTTGGTCGCTGCGTGTAATCGCTTCAGAATGGTGAAGAACTCCTCCACCTCTTCATCCGAAGTCATCTCCCTCTCTTTTCCTCTGTCCGCCACCGTCTTCTTCTGGTTTCCAGCATCGGCGGCGGCAGCCTCGTAATCGGCGTGTTCTCCCCGCTCCCGCTTTCTTTTCCCTCTATCCGCACGACTCGATGGAAACAACTCAAACGGCATCGTTTGTTAGAGAGTTCTAGTGATTACAGCATTTTCTTAAACAAAATTTATAATACGCAGTGGAATCAAAACTATTTCGAAAAATAAAAAATAAAAAATATTTTCGGCCAAATTCGGAATTTTAATCGTGTGTATTTCGTTTAACAAATTTACATATTAAATAAATAAATAAATAAAAGGAAATTATTTTCTTCTGAATAGAATAGCACCAGCCACTGAATTTCCTTTTTGAATTATTTTTAAAAATAATTTTATTATGAATTTACAACATATTATTCTAATTGGTTAATTAAATTATAATTTAATGGAAAAATTAAAATTATTTAATTTTATTTTATTTTATTAAGAGGAATAGAATTGATGGATTGCGGTCAAAGATATTTTAATTGAATATTGAGAATTAAAAAATAGTTAAATCTTTTTCGAGTAAAGGTGGGGAAACATTCTTTTTAAAATTAATTAATTTAAAATAAAATATGATTCTTGTTGAGAAGATGACGTGTCGTTGCGTATTTTTAGTGACGTCAGCTGTGGAAATCACAAACCTAACGTATGGAATTTTAGGCTCCGATCAACCACCTCAATCCCATTTTCTCCAACAAAGGAAAACGACAAAAAAGATTAGTCAAAAGGAGGAAAAAAGTTTAAATTATAGAAAAATATTCAAAATTTAGTTTTCTTTTTCTTTTTCTCTTTATTTATTTATTTATATATATATATATATATATATATATATATATAACATAATTGTGTTCGTTAATTGTAACATGGTTTAAATTCTCGAGTTACAAATGAGCTTCAAATTTAAGTGAGTTAACGATAATTTATTTTTCATATATTAAATAGCTGAATTTGAGACGAATTCAAGTCACAGATCGATTCCAATAGACAATTACAACTCTCTCTTAACTTTAAACAAATTATTAAATTTCTAAAAATTTAGTCTGGACTGAAAAACCAATTCAACTCGATTAGTCAATCAACTTCTTGCCCCAATTGATTGGATTTGATTTTCAATTTTATTGGTCGATCCATCAACGATAGAGAAAACTTTTTTTTTTTTTTTTTTGTACGACCTCATTTCCACTTTTGAGCCTCTTCTTCTATTTCAAATCTTAAAATCTAAACACGTTGACTCCACCTCCCGTCCTTGCTCCATCCTCCTCGTCAACTTTCATCTTCTCATGGTTGATGTACTTGTCTACACCCTTCTACATTCTACGTTAACGTCAATTCCTGTCTAGTTATCTAGTTATCTCTCACCATTTCGTTTCTGTCACTGTTCATGCCCTCCTCTCTTATAAACGCTCGAAAAAAAAAATAATATTTTTATTTTCCTTAATCCATACATTGAATATATGAGTTAAGACGCATACATACACTTGGAAAATAAAGCTTTGAAATTCATGTTAAATGCTTCATAAAAAATTGGTCAAAATAATGATACGAAAGGCGAATCGGCGCTAGGCAATGTGGAGGGTAGGGTCAATATGGTCAGCAATTATTTTTCTACACGTGGTCTTTGGGGGCATTTTTGGAATTTCTTTCGCATTTCCTCCCCCACTATCGTTTTCTTTTCTATTTTCAAATAGGTACTCCCATGGGACCCAGCGGTAGGCATCTTCCTATTTTTAAATTCAATTTTTCCTTTTTTTTTTTTTTTAATATTTTTAAACTTTTAAAATAGCTTTTCTGTTCGGTCTATTTTATTGTCCACAAAATTTATTTTATTTTTTATTTTTAGAATACGATTAATTTAATTTTTAAAAATAAAGTATATATTCACGACCATAATTTTCATAGTCGTTTAAACTGATGCAAAAATTAATAAAAATAAATTTTAAATATATATTTGAAAATTTTAAAATACAAATTTATTAAAGTAGAATATATATGAAATTGCATGAGAAAGTAATGAAAATTTAAATATAACAATAGTCAATTCTATGAAATTGTTTCTATAATATCATATAAAAAATGGCATCATAAATTTTAATTCTTTTTTTTTTCTTCTTCCTAAAGGCTATGAATTAAAAAAAATTAAAAATTTTAATTTTATATATGCAAGTATTTTAATATTAAATTTAAAAAATCAATTACCTCATAATTTATATTTAATTAATTAGTCATATATCAATTAAATGTGAGAAATTTTAGTGGATGAATTCGTAGCTACTCACTCTCTCTCGGCCCGTTTACAGAGTATTTTGGGCCAAGGAATAGACCACTCGGGCTATCGTCGACACGAACACGTGTTGCGCCGACGTGGAATCCACGTCGGCTTCTCGGTCACTATTGGAATCTCAATAATAATAAAAGCATTAATTTTAATGTTTCTCGGTCTTTGGTGGCAAGACAGTCGGGCCATTTCGTACGGGTCGGGCAGGATTCGGATCTCGTTGCTGTCGCCCATTTTGAGCCGTTGGATATTTCCTTCCTTCCTTCCTTCCTTTTTTTTTCTTTTTTTTCGGTTATTGCATAAAAAGAAATAGTTTTTTTTTTTTTTTTTTTTTTTAAACAAACCTAATTATAGTGAATTAGCTTCCTCAATATTCAAATGTTCGGTAAGTAGCTCAATCAGACCAACTCTTATGGCACATACAACATTAACACAAACAATTTTTAGCTTCATTGCAAGTTATTACTAAACTTAACCGAGATAGATTCTACTCATCTAAACTAATTAGTAGGGTCTAGTAATCAGTTTAGTCAAAACCCGTTATAACCGTTCTACTTATTCTAATAGTTCAACTTTCTAGAGTTGATTTGTCGGTTTTTATGGAAATACTTACTACCAATACTTGCTTGTGGCTAAATGTTGTAAAAGTTTGCTTTTGGTTCCTTACCACGAGCATCTAAGTTTAACTACGTCTCTTATGTTCAACTTGGGCTCTAGTTTGAAAGCTTATTCAACAACCACTGTTGAGTCAACTTGGGCTCTAGTTTGAAAGCTTATTCAACTACCACTGTTGAGTCGATGGCTCACATTGATCGACTGCTTGGTGTATAATCAACATAGAGCCTTTAGGAGTTCGTAGCCATACCCAAATGCCAAAAAACTGTGTAAGCTTGATGTAGGATTAGTGATTTTTGAATTTTGAAATGTATTTTAAAGAAAATAAATTTATGATAAGATAATGTTTGGAGGAAAGAATTTGATTTAATTTTTTGTTAAATGTGATATGATATTTTAAATTATGAAAAAAAGAGATTGAAAAAGGGACGAAACCCACCAAATCCCCATATTCAAATAAATTCTATGATCCGGGGAATTTGCGGCGGATCGACTTAGAGAGTCTAACAATAATCCGATGGCCATAACATTAAATTCGTTCATACCATCACCAAACCATCCCTTTTTAAGCAAATTCCACTCTCCATCAGTTGTTTCCGGTAAACTTTGACCGATTCTCAGAACAATTGCAGGCGCATTCGACTGTGAAAGAAAACTCAAGAACATCACGAAGATTCAGAAGGCCGTCAGATGATGAAGCCTTTTCCGACTCGATTTCTATATTTTCTGACTATTATAATGGAGAATGCCTCGATTCATGAGATTTTGGTGTTTCTTCCATAGAGATTTTGGTGTTTCGAACAATGTCAAGCGTGGATTGGCGGTGGTTGTTTACTGTTTTTCTCTTTCGATTTTGAAGAACAGGGAAGAAGTTGAAGACGGTGGTTGAGCAGTAGATTTTATGTCGGCTTTGTTCATATTGGCAGTCATTGGGGCTCTGTTGCAGCTCTGGTTTTCTTCTTCTGCTTTCTTCTCACTCTGCTGCTTCTGGCAGAGGTTGATTCTTGTGCAACAATCGTTTTCAATGCTTTTCAGATTCAAATGGCAAGACTAATTTCCAGTATCGTTCACTCGTTTCTTCGATTTCTTATGTTCTTGATGATTCTGGTTGATGTTCTTTTTGTTTTGCAGGACTTGTTCTGGAGTAAAATTCTCGTGGACTTTTCGTATAAAGCAATTTCTTCTTCGTTTCTCCACCTTACACTTCCGCTGTTTTGATTCTCAGAAATCTTCCATTGTTTCCGTTCGATTATTCATAAATTATTCTGTTCTTGTTCTTCTTAATCTGTCGTACTACTCTCTGATGCCGCATCCTAATCAGAGAAGTGTTAGCGACAGAAAGTTCAAACAGTCGACGAATTTCTCTGGAGATCCGAAAATGAGGAGAAAAGTTCGTATAATCTGTTATGATCCTGATGCAACGGACGCGTCTTCAAGCGAAGATGAAGGAGAAGTATACGGAAGATTAAGAAGAAGATTGAACAAAAAAAACCGAATCATACACGAAATCGACCTGCCTACGCCGATGAACGCTCCCGAATCTAAGAGTTCTAAGAGCAGCAACAATGGAAACAAATACCCTCAGTCTCGAAGATTATCGTCTTCGAAATACAAAGGTGTGAGACAGAGACCTTGGGGGAAATGGGCGGCGGAGATTCGAGATCCGTTCAAAAGAAGCCGTGTTTGGCTAGGTACTTACGACAATGCTGAAGAAGCTTTTCAAGCCTATGAATCGAAGCGGTTGCAGTTTGAAGCTATGGCAGCGGAAATGGCTTCTGGCAACGGCACTGTGTCAGATCAGACTGATTCTTCGGTGAGCACGACGGAGACCACCATGTCACGCACATCTCCGCCGTCTGTTCTCGAATGGAACGATTCATCTTCTCAAAGCCGAGAGGGAGATTCAATCAAAGAAAAAACAGACACAAATATGCACTATCTTCAAGAAGCGGATCTGGGGAATGAATTTGGTTGGAGTCTGGCTGATGGAATCGGGATGTTCTTGGACGATTTTGCAAGTCTAGACAACACCCATTTTTTTGTGTTTGCCGATGCTGATGATGAACCTTGCTTCCTTCCAAATTTTGATTGTGATCATATATGGAATGCTGAGATTTCTAGTTGGCTTGATGAACCGATCAACATAACTTGTTCATAATTTTTTTCTGCTTAGGAATTTTCTCCATTTTTTTGAAGTTTTGATTCATTGAGAATGCAGTTTCTAGAGAGAAAATGAGATAGGGTTTAGGGTTTAGGGTTTTTTTTGTTAATCTATTTCGATTTATAAACGATTATTAGTCTTGGATTCTTTACTTAAGAATCGTCAAATCGAAACTACAAGCCAGATGGTTACAGTCGAAATTATTGAAGGCTTTTTTCTTCGATTCAAAGAAATCCTCTGTCTCGGAAACTCTTGATCGAATCATCAAGCATTTGTTCGAGCGTCTTGAAAGCGGAGAATCCCAGGTTAGATATCTTTCTGGTGTCCATATTATGAGGGTTGCTATCTCCTTTCTGAGCGTTGTTGCATCTGTATGCATGCACACGAAGTGTTCGATGAAATGTCTAGGAGAAAAATTAAGAGATTTTTGTTGAGATTTTCAAGACTCACTTGGTTTCAAATGGGTAGGATGGATACTTGATTCTGAGCATTGCGATGATCTCTGACCAGTGAGCTACTGTGCTTGAACATATGATCCTGCCTGATGCTTTTGGATGTTCCATTGCTAGTATGTGCGCTGCTACCACGTCGTCTATGTGCACGAACCCCAACGTGCAGTTTGGATACTCGCCACTTTCACCTAATGGAACAACCCCTCCGTTCTAAGAGAACTTAAAGAAATTTAGTGTAACAGTCCAAGCCCATTATTGACATATATTGTCATATTGGGACTTTTCCTTTTGAGTTTCTCCCAAAGTTTTTAAAACTCCAAGCCCATTATAGTTATGCACAATATTGTCTATGGTAATTGACATATATTGTTCTCTTTGAACTTTTCGCTTCTCTTTTAAGGTTTTTAAAACGGCTAAAGAAAGGATTCCACATATTTATAGATAATGCTTCATTCTCCTCTCAGGCCCAAGAGGAATCTCATAATCCACCTGAGCCCTAGTGGGACCTCAGAATCCACTCGAGCCCAAGTGGGACCTCAGAATCCACTCGAGCCCAAGTGGGACCTCAGAATCCACCCCGAGCCCCAGTGGGACCTCAGAATCCACTCACCACCTTCAGCGACCCAGTGGGATCTCTTAGAATCCACCCCTTTGGGGACCCCAGTGGGATCTCTTAGAATCCACCCCCTTTGGGGACCCCAGTGGGATCTCTTAGAATCCACCCCCTTTGGGGACCCCAGTGGGATCTCTTAGAATCCACCCCCTTTGCGGACCCCAGTGGGATCTCTTAGAATCCACCCCCTTTGCGGACCCCAGTGGGATCTCTTAGAATCCACCCCCTTTGGGGACCCCAGTGGGATCTCTTAGAATCCACCCCCTTTGGGGACCCCAGTGGGATCTCTTAGAATCCACCCCCTNTCCACCCCCTTTGCGGACCCCAGTGGGATCTCTTAGAATCCACCCCCTTTGCGGACCCCAGTGGGATCTCTTAGAATCCACCCCCTTTGCGGACCCCAGTGGGATCTCTTAGAATCCACCCCCTTTGCGGACCCCAGTGGGATCTCTTAGAATCCACCCCCTTTGCGGACCCCAGTGGGATCTCTTAGAATCCACCCCCTTTGCGGACCCCAGTGGGATCTCTTAGAATCCACCCCCTTTGCGGACCCCAGTGGGATCTCTTAGAATCCACCCCCTTTGCTGACTTCAGTGGGATCTATTAGAATCCAACCCTTCGAGGTCCATAGTCCGTCCATAGTCCTCACTGGTATAGCTTGATTCCGATACCATTCGTAACACGTCAAACCCACTACTAGCAGATATTGTCCTCCTTGGGCTTTCCCTCACGTTTTTAAAACGCGTTTGTTAGGAAGAGGTTTCCGCACCTTGATAGAGTAGGAAGAGGTTTCCACACTTTATTAGAGAATGCTTTGTTCTCCTCCCTAATCGAAGAAGAAAATGAAAATGAGGGAGATTCTTGCAAACCTTTGATGATGGTGAGTAGGAGATGCTGAGTACTGGTTGGTTTTGGTGTAAGCAAAGGACCAATAACAAAAGATGGGTTCACCACAACTAGATCCATTCCATGTTCTTCTGCCAAACGCCAAGCCTCTTTCTCTGCCAAAGTCTTTGCAAATGCATACCAAAGCTGCCAAAAAAACACCCAAATGAAGAAATCAAAACAAGTCTGGTCAACCCGATCCGAGCCACCGAAAGCGGAGTTCCTTCTTACATTATGGCTCTTGCAATACTCGGGATCGGACCAATGCGATTCATTGAGAGGGCAGAGTTGCTGGACGTCATAACGATATCTAATTGCAGAGCAGGACGAGGTGAGCACTACTCGTTTCACGCTGTTCGCTTTTAGACACGAATTTAGTACGTTCTTCGTACCATTTATACATGGATCAATCAGAGTTGCCTGCATAATATTGCGAGAACGTTAATTATACGCACATACGCAACGAGTTTGGGCATATCCCATTAGGATCTTGCCTTGATGTTGTTATTGTAGGGAACAATGACAGGTGAAGCAGTGTGGAAGACCCCATCAACTCCTTGAATGGCCTCATCAAAGCTACCTTCTTCAAGCAAGTCAGCTTTGACTATCTTCAGCCTCTCCTTAGCTCCATCGAACTCCCACAGAAACCCGACACTTCGTTCGTCTCCTGTTCATGAAAATGACAAGTACAACATCTATATCAGTGATAATTCCTGTGAATCAAGCTATCGATGTGTGGGTGTTATAGATTTTGATGACAGAGGAGATATCGTTGTGGTTCAGAACCTGGGTTTCTAACGGTGGTGCGAACATGGTGACCGTTCTCGAGCAATGTCTTGACCAAGTTGGAGGCTATAAAGCCAGTGCCGCCGGTCACACAGTACTCTGGCATCTCCGGCTCGTGAATGGATATATGGCGGCTGTGTGGAAGGGAAGAGTTTATAGAGTGGCCAGACATGAGGATTGCTCATGCGTGGTGCGCTTGCAGCTATTATATTGTTGAGCTCCAATTACAAGAGTGGAAGATGAGTCATCCACTTTGGAAGGTTGGACTTTTCTAATATAAACATAAATCGTGCTCGGTTTTAGAAGACTGACTCGAACAACTTTTATTAACCATTCGAACCGACTCAATTGTCTTTATATGATCAAATTAAACTCTGTTCATCGTCTGTTGCTTTGGTTGACAAAATTTATAACTTGAACAATTGAGTTAGGTTAAAAATGTCTCAAAAATTTATAANTCGAACAATTGAGTTAGGTTAAGAATGTCTCAGTCCATCCATTAGTACCATTTTTATTGGGGAGTTTTAATATTAATTTATTTAATGTATATAAAATTTTAAAATTTGTTTCATGCGTAATGTATTAACTAATTATATAAAAAAAAAAGTCAAATACTTTTTATTTTAGTAATATTTAAAAGTCAACCCAATTTTCAATAAGTCGTTGTAGTATAGTGGTAAGTATTCCCGCCTGTCACGCGGGTGACCCGGGTTCGATCCCCGGCAACGGCGAATTTTTTGTGTAGTTATTTTTTATTTTTAGTTTATTTGGGCCTTTTTCATCTATGGGCCCACTTACGACGGAGGGAAAAAATTGAACCCGCCATAAAATTATGTCCTGCTATTTCCTTCCCGCGCTTTCTCTCACTCACTCTCTCTCCTCTAAAATTCATCATCTTCCGCTCCTGGTTCTTCATCGAATTCTATTATTCATTTTTGATCTCCTGAGTGTTTCTATCTTGCTATTCCTTTCGATGTCAAGAGCTCAACTCAAAGATCAGGCAGACGCTAGTCTTGAGATAATTTCCATCGGATCCTTGTACAGTGGACCGTGGGCCAAGAAGTACTGGAGCAGCTCTAGGGTTCGGTTTCGATTTCTTTTTCTCCTTGCAGTTTTTGATTGATTTGTCTGCTGTAATTGATTTCATATATCTCGGTGGTAATGTTACTCTTTCCGGTGATGTTTGTTTAATCATTTCTCAAGTGGAAAGCATGTGATGCTTGTAACATGATTTGTTCCCTCTGGAATTCGTTTCTGTATTTTTCGACACGGTTGGTTTGGAATGATTTCGTTTCTGATCGTTGGACAGGTGTAACTGCAACTGCGGAATAGCATTTCAAGCAATGCTAATTTTCAAGCTTATCTAACTAGGTTTTTCGATGTAGAATCCATAATAATCAGTACAATTAAAATCAAATAGTCTACTTCATGAAGCTCAAGTGACAAATTAATTTTGTGTAGTTTGAGTTAATTGGCTTCTGTATAAATGTCCAATAAATTGCATGTAGTGCCACTGCAATACTCAGGAGGTTCGTACATCAAGGGTTCCAATATCTAGACTGGAAAATTATGACCAGTTGATGAATTTGTCAATTCAAACTGCTTGCTAACTACTTCCATATTCTTATATTGCGGGTTATTGTTTTGTAATTGTTACATATCTGAAATGGTATCTTAGATGAAGAACAATAGATGTCATAGAGACCTGGTAATATAGTTTTTTGAGTTGAATGTTGTAGTTTAAATGCGTTTTTATTTGTTATTTACTCATGGAAACTTATCGTGAACTGATCGGTTGTGTAGGTGTGTTTATTTCAACTCAGCGATGTAAATAGGAGATAAATTTGATAATGATGATTCTCCCATTATTTATTTTTAAAGAGTTCGGCCCATTAGAGCTTCAAGAAGTTAAAAGATGTATTTACATGACATAGATAAGAAATCTCAACTGACTTACTCTTATCTTTGAATTGTTGTGTAGGGTAAGGATCGATTTCCCTATCCAGTTGGGTATCAGGCTGTTCGGGATTACAATGGGATCAAATATAAAATAGAAGTTCATGAGGGTCCAAAAGGACCTTTATTTATGGTGTGCATAACCTTCCTATTAAATATTAAATATTAAATATCTCTATTTCTCTTGTCATCGACAAAGATTTATTGAAAGGGTCTATCGTCCCTTGCAGATTTTGTCCATGGATGGACGTTCCTTCTCTGGGCAGACCCCTGATATTGCATGGGAGATGTTTCAGAGGAAAAGCTGCCTCCATACTAAAATTTGGCACGGGAAAAGGTCTTCATGCAAGGTTGATGGCGTGGAGGTAAACTCTTCATTTTTCTACTGGACTCTTTAGCCAGTGGAGACGGCTAATAAATGAGTCCTATCATTCTGTAACCCTTTTTAATTTCTAGCAC